GTCTCTCCTTCCGACTCCAACTAACTGGGATGTTTCATCGAGTCGTTGCTTTGCGACGTACTCGCGCCTTGTGCAACGTGGCACTTGGTGATGCCGGCCGCGCAGAACGTATGTCCAGTACAAAATGTACATGGGCGCGCGGGTTCGATGCTTCGCGCTCGATCGGCTTAGTGATGAACACGCTCTGCTTCGTCAATTGATTTGGCCCGAATCGGTTAGAACTCGATCGATTGTTCGAAATGGTCGTCAATGGGTCCCTTCTCTTTGCTCGTCTACTCTACAGCCACACGCCTAGCGTGTGTTAACCCTGTCGAGGAGTCGAGTGGATTCCCCTAGGCACGATTTTCGCTCGGTAAAAGGGGTTGCCTCCCCATTTTCTAAATTGCTGAATGTTAGCTTTTAAAAAATGTGGGTATCCTCTTCTTTTACCGTCTATCAGCCTTGTGTACTGCGCTAGTGATATAGCATCCGTGCGGGTCACTTGAAATCGTGCTTAGCGGGTCCAGGTTCGATACGAGATAGGATAATTATGCGCGAAAAAGAGCTGGTGAACTTTATTTTCCTCTATTCCGTCAATCGTTTCGTCTTCTTTCCGGTTCGGGTCTAATCTTTGCTCGTTGTATCGTTGCATTCCCGACCTGTTGGCTCGAATTTGATTCTCGCGAAATGAAATGGGATTTTCGCTCGTACCGAAACCGGGAGTGCCCTACACAGTATATATATATTAAATATATACATCGCGCGACCAAATTTTTAATCCGAATACCGAAGTAGTGCGGGAGTGCCGTTTAGTATCGCGCGTAAAATAACGAAAATAGCGATATAAAAATATCGCTCGTGAGTGCGGGAGTGCCGTTGAAAGTATCGCGCGTCAACAACATGAGAGGAGGAGGAGGTCTGGGAGAGGCATCTTGCATCGGCGGAGCAACCTGATGGTGAATATTATTATATTATTTGTATATCAATTGTTATAAATCGTACGCATAATAATTCGATCTTATTATTTAAATGAATTAAAGAGAAAATTAGAGAGAAAGATTTTTATAAAAGTTATATAAAACTTTTTAAAAAACTTTCTTAAAAAACAGTTTTAAAATTTTATAAAATTTTTCCACACGTGTTTATCTCTGCTTATTATTTTACAAATCGGATATAAAATTCCGCGCGATAAAAATTTTTTGAAATATTGATTGCATTTTGTGAGCATTAATATAAATGAATTTTATATTTGTATGTTACAGACAACTAGCTTCGATAACAACAACTCCGCTGTTGCGCATCAGTGTCGGTGAGTGAGAAAAACTTTTATTTAACTTTAAGGTAACGGATTCGTAGAGATTGTAGATGTAGATTGTAGATTGTAGATTGTAGATTGTAGATTGTGAATTGTAGAGTAAGTCCGTTGCCTTAAAATGGATGAGCTAGGATAGATTAAATTAAATAACTTTTAATAAATTCTTTCGAAATGCTTTGCATCTATTGCGAAAATATATTGAAGTATTAATTTAAAAAAGAGAATCAAGAAAAGAAAATTTTTTTTGTAAAGACTTGACTAGTTTATTAAATCAAGAGCACGCATTAATAATTTTAACAATTTTATCAATTTTTGATACTACTTTATTCTTATAACGCGCACTTATTTTATTCTAATTTCTTATATCATAGCTCATCCATTGTAGAATTTGTTTGTAGATATTGTTTTTAAATTTTACTTTAACTTAAAATAAAGCCAAACGATTAATTAATTAAATAATTTGTAATATCATAAAAGTTATACACATACATAAATTTTATATTTTATTAGAAAATATAGTATATAGAAATTTGTAGTAATTTGGCTTTATTTGAGTTAAAATAAAGTTATATTCAAATATTTAAGAAACGATCGTAAAATCGAGCGATCGTTATGATGAGCGTGAAATATTTACGCTCATTTGCCGGTAATTAATCGGCAAAAGAAGGAGTGTTTATCTCCTTTTTCGATCTCTGATTAGAGATCGAGCGAGAAAGTGGCCAGAATCAACGAAAAGTAAGTTCAATTGGCCTGAAGAAAAGCTTTACGTACAATAGTACGTAATGTCGGACATTTATTCACGCGGTTAGGGCATGCGGTTAAAGAATGTAATTAGGGCACGTAATTAAAATATACGTGATTAGAGATAGGCTTTCCTCGAATAATTTCACTTAATCGAGAAATAGGATTGTTAGGGCTATTAGGTGATCATTAAGATTTTTTAATTTTTCTTTCAAAAAGTAGAGGATTGTTAGAGCTATTATGTGATTAATTTAGCTGATTTTATATTATGTATCTTTTAATGAATCAGGAAATGTAGGTTTAAATAATATTAGGGAAAACAAATTAATAAATATTTCAATAATTATATTATTAATATTAAGAATTTTTTATGGATCAATATTTTTTGAGTGTTTTTTAAGAGAGTTTTTTTTCCCCACGTAAAAAAAAAGGATTGTTAATTTATTTTGTATGACATTTCAAATTATATAATATTATATTTTACATTAACTTTTTGTATTAAATTCTGTATTGAAAGAAAATGAAAAATTTTGCCTTCTCGATGATATCTCCATCTTAAGGAAGACATTTGCCGACTGAGGAGGTTTGAGTATTTTAATGAACCTGAGAGCTATACCGGCGGTAACATACATCGATATTCGTATAGACTTTTCTTATATTTAAGATAATTTTAAGTATGATCTTAAATATAAAAATGAGTTATGAATACCGATCGTAATTATTGATAGAGTCATCTATGCCGGACAAGTCGAAGTTGAAGTGTCAGACTAAGAGAAATACCAAAATTATATAAATATTTGTTATATTAATTATATTAATATTTTTAAAATGAATGAAAAAGGAACAATAATCGAGAAAAAGACAACTACAGTGATTTGAATATCTATACCTGAGAACAAATGTCCATAGAAAGTATTTCGATGGACTCCATAGGAAGGAATGACAAATGATGATAATTTTTATAATTTTAACACAAAGGAATACAATAAACCATAATAATCCAAGAACTCGAAGAAGAGAATATATTGGATAGAAATGCATAATGATTGAAAATAATTAGGAACTAAAAGACAGTGTACAATCTATTTATTAATAATAATACTATTTTGTAATTATATTAAATTTTATAATTTAGTACATTATATTATATAAAATATTAAACATAAAAATATTATGCTGGTAAGAAAATTATAATAAAAGTATACAAATAATGTTGACTATATTAGAATAGAACATATGAATTCTTTATATTTTATATAAAGGAAGAGATATTTAAAATATTTTGCAACATATATTTTTCGAATCTTAATTATAAAAGCTTCAGAAGAATCAGTGATTACTTTAACAAATTCTATACATGTATTAATAATTACGTTTTTAAATATTTAAAAAAAAATGATTGATAAATATCAAAGATTATTTTACTGCTAATTAAAAAGATTTATAGAAATACGGTTAAAAAGGTTTTTATTCCACAACAGACATTTTGTTTTTTTTGTAAATAAAAATATATAAATATGACATTGAATGTATAGAAAAATATTTATTTTATCTTTGAACATTACATTGGAAGATCACAGTATTTTTCGGGATTGAAGTCAAATTTTAATTTCTTACTTTGTGATACGACATAAATAGATATGAATCAATTAATTAAATATATATTATATTTAAATTTTTCAATGTTAACATATCTTTCGAAAAGAGATAATATATCTGTATTTATGTACACATAGAATATATATATGTAATTCCAGCGCGTGTATTTCATGTAATGTTTTAAATTAAATATATATATATATATATATATATATATATATATATTTCTAAACATAACGCAGATATTTCAGAATAAAGTTGTAGCGTTATACTATATATACATATATATATATATATATATATATATATATATATATTATATGTGTGTGTGTTTATTTGTGTATGTGTAGAGAAAGAGAGAGAAAGGGAGAGAGAGAGGACCACAAAATTTTTTTAAAAAATTAAAATTAAAAATATTTATATTTATATACATATGCGTTTTGCTATACAGCACTGATGGCATTTCGTGTACATAGGCATTTCGTGTACTACAGGCATTTTTTACATAGCACGGAACAGAATCAGAAATTGTACACATATATGTTACTCTCTGAGAACTTTCGTGGACTTTGGCTTTGTAGTTCATGTCCACGTTTTTTAGATTAACAGAGGGCGTATCGCTTTCAGGGATCACCTAAAAGTAGAGCACTAAATATACAGGTATTCTATACTCCGCCATTTTTAATCCATTCCCCCTCCTTGTTTCTCGTGTCACTCGCCTCGTCGCTAAGCTGAGATTATAGTAGATAGGTTAGTGAGATTATATGGGGTGGGGGGATGGATTAAAAATGGCGGAGTATAGAATACTCATATATTTAGTGCCTTACTAAAAGCGGGCCATGACATCTCTCAGTCTTCTCTCTGATATCAGAATCAAAAATATTGACTTTACTCGTAAAGCCATAATCACACTACGGGTTGCAACCTCGGTTGCGATTGAAATTGATCAATCAGAACAAAGCAATTTGTCGGTCGGCTACTCTGATTGATTCAACCGCAATCCGTAGTGTGATTACGACTTTATGTAATTTACGAATTAAAAGAAAAATAAATAATTCACAACTACATATAATTTCATTATTTAAATATATACAAATTTCTCCAAAATATTTTTTAAAAGCTGCGTCTTTGCTTTTCTTGCAACATATTTAAAATATTTTTATAGTAAATGTAAAAAGAGACAGAGATCCATCCGGAAATTACATGTCTCTTTCTAATTCTGAAACTGATTTTCTATAGGATAGTATTGGGGTGGCTCGCTCCAATATACTATAGACTCTGAATGCATTGAAGCGTTTGATTGACCAATCAGGTTAAAGAAATTTTTACTCCTTTCATCCTGATTGGTCAATCAAACGCTTCAAAGTATCCAAAGCGTCTTTCCGACCGCAGCCATAGAGCTCCAGTCGCTCAAGGTGTATTTCGCTTCTATCTTTTCCATCACTTCTCTCGTTTCTCGTCAAGATGGTAAGTGTCTTCGCGTTGTGTTACCTCTGTAATAATCCAACGATATTGACGACATCATCGTTACGTTTGTAATTTATTTACAACAAATGCACAATTAGTAATATTGGGAATAATTTTTTTTAATTATTACGGTTTCGAAAAAAATGCTGCATATTCATCTGTGTCGTGTTGGAGAGGGATAACCTCTCGGGTTCGCGTTATGTTATTTTTGATATAAGTAATAATTCCAGCGGCACTTATAAATAAATTTACTCGTTACTTGTATTACGCTTTCCTTGTATTTTCCTAGTCAACCCACAAGAAGAAGACTAGAAAACTACGTGGACATGTGAGCCACGGTCACGGCCGCGTTGGTGAGTTCATCCCATACAATTTGTTGTAGGCACACGTGTATCGTAAAGTAAATAAAAATATAGAATGCATTTGATACTTATTTTAAATATGAAGAAGAGGAAAAGTTGACGTTTTTAAAAATACATTAATAAAAATATTTTATCTTTTATTGTTAGTAGAGATACAAGAAATTCTGCAATTGAATATTTCAAATGAAAATTGCTAATTTCACGTGTAATCTTTCACCTTTTTAAGTAAATTTCTGATAAGAATACCATATTTTCAAACTCTTTCTTTTTATATTGTATAAATCAAAAGTTTATTATTTTATAATTATACTGTTTGCATTTTTCAGGCAAACACAGGAAACATCCCGGTGGTCGCGGTAATGCTGGAGGTTTGCACCACCATCGAATTAATTTTGACAAGTATCATCCTGGATATTTTGGAAAGGTGAGAATGATTCTTCAAGATATTGCACTTGTACTGAAAGGCGTTGTATATCAAATGATGAGACTTTAATTTTCACCGGCGAAATGAATTACGTTGATTATATTCTACTATAATCTGAATTATTTTTCACGTGTGAAATCTGTTATCAGGATTATATTCATATCATATCTTTAATTGGCTTTTGTTCTATCGACAGCTTGGTATGAGGAATTATCACCTGCGTCGAAATACTAAATGGTGCCCAACTATAAATCTAGACAAATTGTGGACCCTTGTCTCTGAACAAACGAGACTGAAATATAAAGATGTCGAGGGCAAAGCACCTGTTATTGATCTTGTAAAAGCGGTAAAGATATCAGACTTTCTTTTAACTTTAGCTTTTCATAATATATACATATATTACTCTCTGCTTTCGAGATATTTTCCAATAATTTCTTTACTACTACTATACATGATGATCTTGCAACGGGCGGTCTTAAAAGTGCTGTACAACACTTACATCCATGTTGATTGTTGCATTCTGATTAATTCCTTGCAAAATATTTTGAAAGATATAAAATAATTTTCTTAAAGGCGAAAATTTATAAAGTATTTTAAAAATACATACATTTTGATATGTTAGAGTTTATATCGATCAATATATTTTTTAGGGATATTACAAATTATTGGGAAAAGGACGCCTCCCTAAGCAGCCTGTCATAGTTAAGGCGAAATTTTTCAGCAAACAGGCGGAAGACAAGATCAAGGCGGTTGGTGGCGCGTGCGTCTTGTGCGCATAATCATTGAGTATGTATTTTCTTTTTTTAATTTGTCATGATTTTGCAACAGGTGGACCAGAAAGTGTTGAAACATTCTCACAAAATATAATGCATAAATAGTTTCATTTTGATGAGTTAAATATTAAATATTTCATAAAGAACCTATATATCATTAAAATACTAACTTTTGCTTTTTACTTTCAGGACAGTGTTCATTTCCATAAGTTTACTCTTGTCGACTCAAATATTAAAACTTTATAAGGATGTAAAAAAAAGAGACGTGAGAAGATTAAGAATAATTTATGGAAACGAATGTATTTCAATGATAAATAAAAATTTTTCAAAACACTTCTTTTTATACAAATTGTTTTATAGATAGAAATTACATCTTATATAATGAAGTATATCACATATTTTCTGACCTTGTGTAATTATCGAGCGAATAAATATGATCTCACATGTTGATAGAAGTATATAAACACATATTTCTTCGAAAAAAATAATACATTGTCCGCGCTAGCTTTTATTAGTAAGTTTACTTGAATTATTAGATGCATTATGCTATGTGAGGTGGTGGAGGAGGTATTTGCATTCCACTCGCCAGAAGAGCTGGTGGCGGCGGTACCGGATTAAACATGGGTGGTCTAGGAGGAGGTGGTGGAACAGGTACCATCGGACTCAATCCTGGTCTTATTAGAGGGACTGGCGGCGGTGGTACTTTGCCTACAGATGGTTTCTCATTCTTGAATGCAAATTGCAGGAAAAATTGTTTTGTATCCTTGTTCCAGTGAGTCCAGAATTTTCCTTCCGCCTTCTCCACTTCCCTACTGGGCACCTGTAAATTATAAATAATAAAGTCTCGATTTAATTCATGGAAAATCCTTAGGATATTCAGAGGTAAAGATTTAGCTTTCTTGAATTCTTACTTTAAAGGCGATAGTCTCGTATGGTTCAGCTGCAAACAGCAGATACTGCCATTTACGATCAGGTGGCTCGACCCTCTGCTCGTAGGCGGACATAAACCTGTGCCTCGGAATTACGTTATCCGCCACCTCCGGATAGTCTACCTGAAACAGCAAACTCTGCTGGCCGGATTCCGGATCGCGCTGCTTCGTGACTCGATAACCAGGTCGACCGATCTTCACGAATTTCTTGGGTTCGACCCGGGGTTTCTCCGGTGCTAGAGTCTGTGGCGCTTCCTTGGCCTCCTTCGCGGCTCTCCTGGCTAGATTGGCCTGATGCTTCTTACCCTGGGTATGCGCCAGGTAACTACCCTCGTTGTTGTGCAGGGTGAGACACAATTTGCACTCGTACGAGCCCAGGTGATTTTTCATAAAATATGGGTCCTTATTTAAGTCGATAGTTTCCAGGGCGAGTTGACGGAGCCGCTCCCGGCGATCGCGATTGCTCTCCGACCAGGAGGCGACCCCGCCGCCGCCGGTCTTACCACCTGGACGATTTTGGAAATCCATCCTCGATCAGAGTGAAAAGATGAGGTATTCTTAAAAATCTTTCTTCATAAAATGGAAAGACAACCGCACTAAATAGAAATGCAAATATAAATAACCTCCTCGTATGATGCGGTTATGGTGCACTTTGTTACAACCGCGTTTAATAACATGACTAGATGGATGATGTACCGTGCTCGATTCTCAATTGGCTCGTTTGGACAAATTCTCGACTGATTGTGTCGCAATACTTCTTTTTATATCATAAAATACGTTCCTCGACAAACTAAACTTGTGTATTACTTCATCTTTACTTCTCTTTTCGTAATGTTTTGTCTTATATTCAAGGAATTTAAGTTCGAAGATCGCAATATAATACAGTTACCAAACAGCCTGTATTGTCGGAAAATTTGACCACTCAGGAATAGACGAACAGAGATTTCTTTGTCCTTATTGGTCAAGTGCTATGCTCAATTTTCAATGCGGTAATCAGATGTAAGCATGAAAATTTCTTCCAATCGTCAGAGATTCACCGTGTTTCTCTGTGTTCATTGTGTCTGCTATTGTTATGAGCAAGCACACTTGTTGATAAATAATAGAAGTGTCGAGATTTGACCAGATTTAATCATGGCACGATTTCATTTTAATACGTCATGGATTTTAAATTTGAATTGTCGCTGAAAGTCGACTTCTTGAAGAGAAAAAAAAGAGATCAAGATTATTAATAGAACTACTGCTCTATTGCTATTTCGACGCTTTGTCAACGCAATTTTGAAAATTATGGCTGCGAAAGGCATTCACAGCTTGAGATTTAATCAGGATCAAGGTGAGTTTTTCAATTTTCAAATTGGAGAAAGTGTGTTTTTAAACTATGGCACATAATCTTTTCATTGGCTTTGTTTATCCCTTTGATAGGATGCTTTACTTGTTGCATGGAATCTGGACTGAGAATCTATAATGTTGAACCATTGGTGGAGAAGGCACACTTTGATAACGAATTCATGGGAAGCATCTCTATGGCAGAGATGCTCTGGAGGACAAATGTAATTGCCGTAGTAGGTGGTGGAAACCGTGCTAAATTCGCTGATAACACTGTCTTAATCTACGACGACTTGTCAAAAAAATTTGTTATGGAAGTCACTTTTACCAGTTTAATCAAAGCAGTCAGGTTGCGAAGAGATAAGTAAGTTTTCTGAAATTATACAGTTTTTCTCGTGAATGCAAAAAGAGATGTCTGCTCATGTAGGAATGATTTTGTGTCCTAGAATGGTGGTAGCATTACAACGAGAGATTCATGTTTTTTCATTTCCCACGCCTATTCGAAGGCTGTTAACGCTCGAAACTAGAGATAATCCGATGGGTTTGATGGAAATTGCGACGTTTGCGACAGCACAGCGGCAACTACTGGCTTTTCCAGGTCACAAACTAGGCAGTGTACAATTGGTGGATCTCGCAGCCACCGAGGCTGGAAGTTCCAGTGCTCCTATTACTCTCTCTGCACATCAGGTACTTTAACAATTAATAATAAGCAATTTTTAGTGTATTTTTATTACATCTATGTTGTATTTATGTGTATCTATGTTGTATTTATGTGTATCCTATATGTATTCTTGTTGTAATGACAACAGGGTGCACTGGCATGTCTGGCAGTTAATGGAAATGGGACCATGATTGCTACTGCATCAGTTCAAGGAACTTTGATCAGAGTCTGGGATTCTGTGCGCAGGAGTTTATTAGTTGAATTGAGACGCGGTGCAGATCCTGCTACGCTCTATTGGTCAGTGTAAATAAGATTAATATTATCGTGTAATGTTAGTATCATAAGCATCACTTAGTGATAATTAAAATTTTTTATTTTATCAATAATTGCATAATATTTTTTTTAGTATAACTTTTAGCAGAGATTCGGAATTTTTATGTGTCTCGAGCGATAAAGGAACAGTACACATATTCGCTTTAAAGAATACTAACTTGAATCGACGATCCACGTACGTAAACGGTTTAAAAAAAAATAATAATTTTTAAAATAAATAATTTTCGAATAATCACTTTAATTGCAAGATATATGAATAACTTTGTATTGTCGTTTTTAGTTTTTCGAATATGGGTGGTTTTCTTGGTAATTATGTCGAGAGTCAATGGGCACTAGCTACTTTCACGGTACCTCCAGAGTGCGCGTGCGTTTGCGCGTTTGGCACGCACAATTCTGTGATAGGTATTTTGTATGAAAAAAATTTATCATTAATATCTGTGCTTTGCTTTATATCGTTTCCCTCTTCATTTCAGCTGTATGTATGGATGGAACATTTCACAAGTATATTTTTACTGCAGAAGGCAATTGCAATCGACAAGCATTCGATGTCTTTCTCGACGTGTGCGACGATGATGATTTTTAACACAAGGCCTATCATACATTTATGAATAAATACAAGATTTTATTGTTGTTATATATAAAACAGTACTGCAACGAAATTTCTCTAGTCGGTTCGAGAACGAAATTTCTTGTATGTGATAATTGTACAGGTACAGGTAATTGAGTCAATTATGCAAAAAGTACATAAGTCGTGAAAAAATTGATGTCCCATTTGTGGTTTTCAACTTTTTTATGATATACATGCACTTCGCATAATTAATCATAGTTGTAATAAATATTAATAGACATATATTTTGTACAACAAACAGGTCATGTAATTATATTTTTATTTGTCACCTATCCTTTATCTGAAGATACCAAAAAAAATTTTACAATGTACAATCTATTATACATGCTAATTCTATAGGAACCTTCAAGTAAATTTCATAGAATAACTTGTGTCCATTTATCTGAAAGATTGTTCTCTAGCTCTCTCTGAAAAAATAGAGATTATAAAGGATGGAATTAATAAGGAAGTAGTAATATATATATTGACAATATAACGGAAAAATATTCATACTATATGGCTCAGGATTTATCATAGGTCGGATCATGGTAGCGTAACAGTATACACCTATAAGTCCAACAAAACCTCCAACAAAGACATTATATCTCCACCCTCTCAATCGCATAGCTTCTAATTTATTTGTGCGCAGGAAGAACCACGAGTTATGAATATTAATTCAGTTATAACATGAATAGAAAAGTTTTTTTGAAAAATCAAACATATTCTACTTGTCTTTCATTTCGACTCATCTCCAATCTAAAAAAAAATACATATTCTTGATTAAACCATAACTTTGCCACAAAAAGATATTACATTAATTTCTATCGCGAAAATTATATTGTATTGACCATTAAATAATCCTGAATTTTATTCCTACAAAAACTCGTGTTATTAGATATCTCGAGTTTATTTTTGAGGTTATGACAGGAGAGGGGATACGATCATGATCCGTGACATTTGTGATCTATAAGGCCTGTTCTACAATGAGTCGTAAGTCGTTAGTCGTAGGCAAATTGACCAATCATAGTTGATTATTTTTTAAATAATCGACTATGGTTGGTCAATTTGCCTATGACTTACGACTCATTGTAGAACGGGGCTAACCGATTAGTTTAAGGTTTCTCTTTGTTACTATTTGATGCCACTAGATGGTGAATTGATTTTAGTTTCTCGCAAGTGCAGTTTGTGACACAATTCAGTATATAAGAAATTTCTTAAAAGAGATCAATTGTACTTGCTTCGGCAGTACATATACTAAAATTGGAACGATACAGAGAAGATTAGCATGGCCCCTGCGCAAGGATGACACGCAAAATCGTGAAGCGTTCCACATTTTTTGCTCTTAGCAAGATTATATTATATTCACGCATAGAAAGCGCTTATTTATTTTCTTATGCTATGTACTAGGTTTATTCTTTTTTGTAACTGAATTTTATGCAAAAAATAAAAATGAGATAAATTAAAAATGAGATAGATAGAAGTTATAGAGAGGGAGAAGAAAAATACACAAGAAATTTAGCTACAACGAGAGAACAAATCTATTATTTAATAAGCTGTAATAAAAAAATTTCAAATTTAAAGAAAGAAATATTTTTTTGAAATATAAAAATTTGACGTGTAAAATGATAATATTAAATTAATTTACATAAATTTTTTTACTCAAAAACAGAAAGTATAAGTATATATACTATATAAGTATATAAATTCTATAAGTTTTTATTTTTAAAAAACAGTTTTGTTTCAGAATTGATAAAAATTATAAGTATATTTATTATTATTTATTTATTTCATTATATATATCGAAATTTTCGAAAGGTACATTCAATCTATCGATCGAGTATTTTTTAATAAACGAATTAATTTTGAAAAAAATTGCGCGCAATTTTTTCGTACAAAAAGAGAATCCGCGATTCGAAATATTTTACTTACGATTTTTGATCTACGACGATTATTTATCGAAATCAAAACAACCCATACATCATCATATGTCCAAAAGACATTAACAGGACATCCTGAAGATGTCTAATCGCCCAAAGATATGTGGGAATTTTGATTTTCGATTTTGATATGATTGACAATAATATCGTATATATATTTTTTCATATTTAAAATGTCCGAGAGCACCGACGAAATACTATTAAAGACCGATGGTTTTATGGGACTTAGCGTGACCAGATGTGCAAAATATTACTGTAGGTAACAAAATCTTTACATTGTCGATAATAAAATAACGATTTACGATTACGAAATTATGATTTTATATAATTTGTCATTTATGAAATAGATATATAAAAGATTTATACATTTTTTTACGAACATTTAACACAAATATATACCAATACATTTGAAAGTGTGAAACGAGAAATGTTGACAGTGTCGCAGTTTCGTCCTTTAGGATGTCCTTCGTGAAACGTTGCGATTTAAAATAAATTTAAAATAAAACGATCATTACGCGGACGTATATAAGTAACGATAAAATTGTAAAGTTGTTTCGTAATAGCGTCAGAATTTGCAGATAACGATATCTTAATAAGAAAATATGCGAATATCAGTGTCGCTATATTGACAGGTTATATCCGCGAATAAATGTGTGTCTCAATCGCAGAATAGAATTCGTGAAGGGAAAAAAAAGAATATGTCGAGAAAGTGGTTATCAAATTTCGCATTGGCCGGTACCATCAGATTGCTGTTAATGAACTCTGAATATCAAAAGACCATCGGCAATCGCGTCGAAGTGTCAACCGCCCTAAACTCTTGGAAGAGAGGTTAGTTAGTTCTTTGTGGGCATTAAAATCTACAAAGATTCCAAAAAGAAAAATACAATTTCATTTCGATTGCTGAAAAAAATATTTAACAAAAATCGTTTTATTTTATTAATTAAAGGGTAGATTTTTATCACAATAATACTTATAATTCTAATCGACTTTCAGTGACTGAGGGAGTTTACTTATATGAATTCGGCATAGATCCTTATGAAGGAGACTTGTTTCATGAAACCCCAATAGGCTTATATGTTTTTAAGCTTATACAGAAGTATTTACCTCAATGGGCATTATTTCTGCTGTTTGTTGTTACCGATTTGACAACTGCTCTGTGCCTCGCTTTTACTGCAAAGCGTTATGCTATTGAACTGGTTAGTTTGACATAAAGTTGATCTTGAGATTCAGTTTAAATGTTTTAATATTACATACATCAAATATTTTAATGTGTTTAATTATGATATTTATATTTGTATATATTACAGGCTACAAAAAGGAAAGAAGGGAAGGAAGATAATAGGAAGTCTAGTGATACCCCTGACACATCTGCTCTATATGTTTCCGCGGGATATCTGTTCAATCCTTATATAATATTGAACTGTGTCGGCCTAACAACGACAGTTTTTACAAATCTGCTTTATTCAATCGCGCTGGTATCAATGATGAGACGTTCCATATTCTGGAGTTGCATGTCTATAGCGTTGCTGACATTGCAAGGACTCTATCCTGTGTCGCTCATGGTACCTGCAACTATCCACATCGCCAGTGCAGCAAAAAATAGAAGAACCAATTATTTTTACATTGTGACAATGATAATCATATTTACGAGTGTTTTAACCGCTCTATTCATCATTTCCTATAATATCATGGGTAGCTGGTCGTTTCTACGAAATACGCTCGGCTTCATACTGACAGTTCCTGACTTACGTCCGAATATCGGACTGTACTGGTATTTCTTTACAGAGATGTTCGAGCATTTTAGGTGGCTCTTCATTGCATCCTTTCAAATAAACGTCAGTTTATTATACATAGTCCCTTTAGCATTGCGATTACGACGCGATCCAATGTTATTGGCGTTCTCCTATTTAGCGATAGCTGCCATATTTAAATCCTATCCATGCATCGGAGACGTCGGCTTTTATATATCTCTACTACCATTGTGGAAGCATTTGTTTCAACGTGAGTTAAAAAAACATCAGTTTCAAATCAATGATACAAATTGTTTCTAATTTCGTCTTATTTTGATTTTTTCCAGATATGCAACAGGGATTTATTGTAGGCTGTTTTCTACTATTTTGCACAGTATTTGCGCCAACTGTGTGGCATCAATGGATATATTCCAGATCGGCGAACGCAAATTTTTATTTTGGGGTAACACTAGCGTTTGCCATAGCACAGATCTTCCTTCTTACAGATATCTTGTTCGCTAGCGTAAAACACGAATTCGCAGTTAAACATGGTATCAATAAAAAAGTTAATGGAAATGAAGCTAAATTGCTGCTTGAATAAGAATAAGGTACTTTTTCAAATATATGCAATACTTTGTCAATGAACAATGACACAGTATTTCTGGAGCATTTATTTCATAAAAATAAATAGTTTTTTACAAAAAGTGTTGTTATTAAAGCAGATCGATATACGCTAATTTATCTTAAGACAATAGTATCATTATAAAATCTTGCTCTCACAAAGCACGTATTTGGATGATTAGACAATTCGTGACCTTAGTTGACAAGCATGTTGTTTATAATACAAAAATTAATATAAAAAGATTTAATTCTACAGTTACGTCACAAAAAAAAGGCAATTTAAAAACATCTTGTATGAAATTATTTGCTTATTACATTATTGTAACTGTATAACAATGATATAACTTTTAATTGTATAACATTAATTTATATTACAATATTTGTTCGTTACAAAATGTGTAAATATGCACAAAGTATATTATAATAGTAATATATATATATATATATATATTACATTATATATATATATATATATATATATATATATATATATACTTAATATACTTTATACATACATATATCACACATATGTATAATTTCTGAAAATAATTTTAGAAGAAAATACTTCCTATACAAAAATATTGTAATTATAAATTAATATTTCAAATAGATATTATATATTTAAATGTGACAACTTAATACTAAAACATCGCGTTTAATACTGAGCAGTTGTATTTGTACATTTTATAACATCATTTAAAGAAACGAAATACTATAAATACTAGATTTAATTATCCGATATATAATCGTAATAATGCCATTTACAGATTTATATTTTTCACTTGACTATTTTTTCTATGTTAATTTTAATTTTTTCTCCATTTCACGTACTAGTACATTGGATAATTCCTCTTTCTTGTTCTTCCCAAGTTCTACGGTAACGGATATTTTCGTTGCATTTAATGCATCTTTATCATTATCTGTATTTGCTTTGTAATCACTTATTAATTTTGCTATTTCATATGGTTTTAATGGAGATCGTTCAAATGGAATACATCCACCATGAGTTTTACAATATTCCCATAGTACTTTCCAGTTATTATTTGTACAAAGAATATCTTTATTGCCTATTATTATCATAAGTGCTTTTGCACGTGTCAGAGCAACATTAAATCTCTAAAACCAAAAATATTATTTATATAGAAATGTATATAATATTTATAGTGTTGTGTATATGTATATAATATAAAATAATACTCAGCACGCACGTGCATATTATGAAATTGATTCACATACCTTTCGATTAGACAAGAAACCAATGTGTTCATTATTTTCGTGTTTAAAGATATTGGATCGTACTGTTGACAATATTATTACAGTTCGTTCTTGTCCCTGAAATGTCTCGACTGTTCCTACAGTTATGTTTTCCAATCGTATCTCTGCTAAGTGATTAATAATTTGTATTTGTTGTTGTTTAAAAGGCGTCACTATTCCGATATCCTTCGGCGTTAATTTGTATTTTCCAAATTTTGTTTCAAGCAACATTTTCACATATTTTATCACTACTAGTACTTCAGCTGTGTTAGAGACACTACAAATTAAACATATTTATATAATTTTGCAAATAATCACTAATTATAAAAATATAATTTGATTGCATACTTTAAACTGACTGAAGTGAAATATATGTTTATAATAATTAAATTTATTAACCTTCGAGTTAAAGATCTCTCTTCTTTGCCTAGAACATCTTGAAATATCATAGGAAATGTTTTGTTTGGTAACTTGGGCCAGTTCAATGCTATTTGTGTATCGGCTCCTCCGCAGGCTTTTAGTTCCTCGTCATAAAATTGTTTATTTGATACATATAAAAGCTTTTCATGACTACGGTAATTTTGAATCAATTTTGTTATGTAGTTTGGGTTGTATTTTCCATTCTGTTTCTTATATGGCTCGCAATCATTCATTAATCTTTCCAACATTGATGTACCTGTTGTAAGATATTAAATTGTGAAGAAATTATTTTTGTGATATATATATATATATATATATATATATATATATACATACATACATACATATATTGCATGATATTTTAAAAGAATACTTGCCAAAAAGATGTTCACACCATTTGGAGCGAACGACAGGTCCTAATTGGTGAGGATCACCTGCAATAACGATTTGTGCTTGATATTCAATCCCTTCTTCTTCTTGCTTTTTATTTGTTATTGTTAGAGGAATTAACATCTCTGGTTCAATTGCTTGACTTGCCTCGTCAATGATTATGTAAGAAAAATGATTTTCTCTAAAATTCACAGCACTCAATCTATAATAAAGCAGAAAAAAGAGAAATAAGATATAAATCTTAAAAATCTAAACAGATCAATTTAATTATGTATGAGGATAATATACGAGGTATTTCCATGATATATGTTTAAATAAATAGTGCTTAATTATAACTATAAAGTAAATAACTTTTTAAAATTATTAACTTTTACTTATATAGAAATTTTCTTGTTATTAAAAAGAAGTTATTATTAAAAAAAAATATGTGTATGCTCAGGTATTAAAATGAAATATCTATCTGTAATATATACCTTATGGACGTTATTAATGTTGTAATAATAATTCTTTTCATTAACAATATATCTTTTGGCAAAAAGAGAGCAGTTTTGTCAACAAAATTTGCACATGGTCGAAGTTTTTCATCTACATTTCCCCTGTTTAACAAATAAAATTTATAACATTCATACAAACACAATCATATTTTTCACAATAATGTAATGTAAAATAATGTAAACTGTAATTAAATTCTTAAATAAAACATTATTATTATGTACAATATAACAAACGTAAATGAAAAATAAATCTTGTTAATATAAAAAATATTGACATATTATTCACATTAAACTTATACTATTTTTAGAAATAGTAAAAATAAAAGAAGGATATAAAAGTAAATCTTTTACCACGGTCTAGATGGTGCATACATTCGATACATTATGTTTGCTGGTACATTTCCAATTAACCTTTTGGCAATTTCATCGACTGCTGCATTAGATGTTGCACATACCAATATATTTTTCGTAGGATAATGTTTCACAATCTATCAAACAAAAAATTAAAGATAAGAAAAAAGAGAATAAAAAAATTATTCATGCAAAATATTAGATACAAAAAGAAAATAAATTACTTGACTTATAGTTTCTACTAATGTTGCTGTTTTCCCAGTGCCTGGAGGACCAAAAATTATATAAGGTGCAGGATATGCTGTCTTACTCAAGATCTTTCTTATTGCTTGCTTTTGTTCTTTGTTCTTTTCTATGTTAGGATTGATCCACTTGATGTCACTATATAACATATATAAATTAATATCATTAATCAAATTTACATATTTGAGATTATAGTGATAGAAAACCAACGTGTATCCAAATAATAAAGTATGTGACTTTAAAACTTACTCTTCTATATCCATAGTATTTATCTTGAGTTTGGGATATGTAATTTCTATCAAATTGGATTTTTCACTCATCATCATCAATGCATAATGGCAACATCTTAAGGGCCAATGTTTACTCCAAAAATTTATATTAAAGTTCTTTTTTTTGTCTTTAAAGGTTTCTGCATCTCTACATTACACATAAAATTAATAATGTACGTCAATATACATCAATGTATGTTTTCTATTCTATTATTCATAATAACAGTTATATTATTATTATTATCATAAATGTGCTAAGTTCCTATATTAATATAAAAAAATTAAATAATTATAACTATAAATAACATAATAAAAACTATGAATTTACTTGGGAGAGAATGGTTGTATTGTCACTTCATTTCCTGTTATTTTCACAACTTTTGCCCAAATTGTGTTTTTTGAAACGGCCTCATAAAGAGTCACATTATCATCTGGTACAACTATAGAATTCTCATTATTAAAGGTTGGCACATTGATAATAAAACACTCCTTTAAATTGGAATTCTTAACTTTATGATTTAATAATCTGTGCCGATTTATTTCGCGATCTAACTCAAATTGTTCTAAATATAAGCAAATTTTTAATATAACTAAATAATTATCATAATCTATCCTTTGTATATTAGATAAACTTTTAATGCACTTTATATAATTTTGGCATTGTTGTGGGAGATAATCATGTTCCACCAAATGATTTTGTAACGCAAATTTTAATTGATTTGGAAATCTAATCTTTGGTAGCCTAAGTATTTTTGCTAATGCAAATGCTGTGCAATCCCTAAAAAATGATAAAATTACATGATATATTCAATAATTAAATAATATAAGTAAGTAAATTGCTTAATAAGATAGAATTATATAAGTAAATGATTTTCTCAATACATAAGATATCAAAAATAAATCAAAATAATATGATATTAAACATTTGTTAAACTCTGCAGCTTTATGTTATATTTTAGAACTACAATTGCTAAAAAATTAATTTATTAAAATATACTCTCTTGTAATAAATAATTTTTCTTACACAGGGTCCACCTTTGAATTCTTCGTCATAATGGAAGTAGACATATATTAAAATTGTTATATGTAATATGTATTAAGATATCGGTCAAAACCGTCGAATTTTGCAAAGTCTATTCACTAGGCAGAAAAAATAAAAAGATATTACTTATAAACTTATTCTTACTTATAAAAAATAATTATTAATATTTATGCCCAGGTAGCAGAGTGACGTCAAATGACATCTTAATAACGTTTTAATGATGTCATTGTACGTCATTAAGACGTTTGAAGACGTCATTTTGCTACCAGGGTGTATTGCAATATAAATAGTAAAAATTTTATATAAAATTTTATGTTAAAAAAATAGATAATTTTTTTTTATGTAACTCATGTGAATCTTATGGAAAAAAAGAATGATAACTGATTTTTTATTTTATTTGTTCCATTTGTGTGTAGATGTAATTATTTTAGAAAAGAATATGTAAAATACTTACATTTAAGCGCGTTTTGCAAAATAATGCAAAGATATGTGAAAATGTCAATTGTATTTAAAGTATTTCACAATTGTAGAAATACTAACGAGACATAGAAAAAATGAAGCATTTATCTATGATGCGAACTATGTGATTCCGTTTTGCTTTGTTCCTTCGTGACTCCGTGATGTCTCATGCGTTCACATGTCACACGTCAAATAAAAGAGGGGATTTCCACACACATTGTATATGAAATCCATAGAGTAATATTAAGCCTCTTGCACAATGATAGACAACAGGCAATAAGAACAGTAATAATATCTATTCTCTGCTCTTATTAGCGAATATTTTCTATTCCGCGTATTTATTGGTGAATAGTTTCTATTCCCTATTTCTATTGCCTGTTGCTTAGCATTGTGCAAGGCTTTAGACCGAGCGTGTCCACTTAAGATGCAATTTCATTGACGCTAAAAAGTAGCGTCAACCATTGGTTAAACAATGAAGCAACTACTTACTTCTTTGTTCAACCAATGGTTGACGCTATCTTTTAGCGTCAATGAAATTGCACCTTTAAGGTGCAATTTCATTGACGCTAAAAAGTAGCGTCAATGAAATTGCACCTTTAGGGCCTATCGAGTATTAAATATACTCAATGTTCATTGGTCTTATGTTATACATATGCATCTATGCAAGTTTGTCTGGATAGGTCCTAAAGACTATAGGCCGCAACACACACTTTTGCATAAGCGCATAACCAGAAGCATAAGGAAATTGATTGGTCCCCAAGTATATGCATAAGAAAATGAACCAATCAATTTTGTTATGCTTATGGTTATGCGCTTATGCAAAAGTGTGTGCGGCGGCCTTATAGCACACACTTTCCATAAGACATAACAGTAAGGTTTCGACCAATCGCGTTGCTCAATTTGGTTACGGATGGCTAAATCCGTAAAAAATAAATCGATATTAAATCGATACTAAATCGATACTAAATCAGAATTAGAATTTCTTTAATTCTTAAAGCGTTTTTTACATAATATATATAATTACTATAATTAAAATAATATATATAATATATATAATATATATAAAACATATAATTTATACAATATAATTTATGCAATTAATATAATTAAAATAATTACATTTAATTACATGTAATTAATATAATTTAAAAAGTGTTTTACGCAATTTTTGCACAGTCTTCAGATCGAAATAAGTTATAAAAATTTGGCGTGCCTGAGTCATCATCAAACATGAATTGAATATTTAAAATTACATAATGTTTAAAATTTTATATTTTATTCGAGATATATTTATTTCTTAAATAAACGATCCAAAAATATGGAATAATTTTTAAATATATTTGGCGTACTTTTTAAGTACTTTATCAGGTATAATTTATTATACTTGGTTAATTATAATATAATCTCATATGTGTTTACAGATTTCTTATTACGTACAGATTTCTTATTACGTAAATTGGAATATTTTTCATGTACTTGGCGTAATTTGTGAGATTTCTCTGAATATTAATTTTTAATATGTTAATACAGCAATGATATAATGACGAAATAATACGCAGGAAAATGTATCTATCAATTTAATTTAATTTTTTGTAAATACTCTTAATTTATGAGAAGAGTTTAATGAGACAAAGATATATTATGTATAACTTCTATAACACTTCTATTTCATATAAAATAATGCAATATATATTCACTTTTTGATCAAAATGACAAAAAAAGATATTTAAATGATTTAATTTAATTTTTGAATAACAATTTTATTTTTAATAAAAAAAATCGATTCTACTATTATATCAATAATTCTAACTCTATTTAGAATAGAAAAATTCATAGTGATTATATAAACGAATAAAATTTTTTAACTTAAATTAATTTCATTACAGTTGTCTTAAAATTATTTATTTTTTGATCGAATCTTGATCTTTTTAATAAAAATAGATATCTAAATAAATCAATTTTTGAATATAAAATCAATTCTACATCTTCATGCATATTATCTCGTTTATGACGTTGTATTAATATTACAAGTTTTCGCACGTAATTATTAATGGATTTATCGCTTTTTATGATTAACTATTGTTCATATAACTATGTTTCATTTTCAATAATATGCAAATATACAGGATACAAAAATATTATTTTATAATTTCTGTTTAAAAATTTAATATTAATTTTTGAATGATTTAATCTCTCTTTCATTAAAGAAAATAAATAAGGATATTATGGAGAAAAACGAAAAATGTTACAATTCTGATGTGCGATTATTATTTCTCATGGTTAATTGTATCAATCTTATACAAACTACAAACTGGTCGCAATTGTTTATATTCACATTACATTATAAAAATGCTGTTAGATTTTTTACAATATATTACGGCTTTAGATTCTAAAATATCTTATAATATAATCGAATATAAATAATCGAAAGTTTATTAGACCCAAAATTCCGGATAAGTGGTACTTGATAACACCATGATTCCTCTACTAGGCAAAACTGTTGATATGTTTCTGTAAATTACAATTTTTTAAATTTATAGCAAAGTATATTATAATGTCTCTCATTTAAGAGATTAAAGTATATTATAATGTCTCTCATTTAAGAGACTAAATTGACAATAACTTTTAAGTAATAATAATAAAAATAATTGCAGAAGGACACGTTTCAAAGGTGTTCATGTTATATTGGATTCGTCCTAATTGTACAATATAAAATTAGTTTCTACATGCGCGTACTTTGAATTGTATAATTACAAGAGTAAATATATATCTAATTCACAGGTTAAATGATTGTATGGAGTAAGAACGGTAAACAGTTAATAAAATATATTATAATTATAATTAATATATTTTAACTACAAAAATTTTTATAATAACAATTAGTAAAATTGAAATATAAGTAAGCAGATAAAATATCCGTTTTATATTTCCGTTTTATATTTGGATATACGGATGGTAATATGGAATAAGATCGGTAAGCGAATGGGAGGGAGAGAGGGGGAAGAGAGGGGGGAGGAGAGAGAGAGAGAGCAGCAAAAATGGAATTTTGAAAATGGTGGAACATGACAAAGAATAAGATATATTTCTTTATCTATAAACGAACATCGTAATGATTGCCTTGTCGCCAATCAGTTAAATTAAAATTAGAACTCTTTGATTGATTATTCGTTGGTGATTAACCTAGATATTTGATATGATTGTGATCATTTGTAATATGGTAATGGGAAATTAATATCTTGCAAGAGAAAAAAGGCATTTTTAGATATACATATAAGTTCTGCGAGCTATTTCCATACATAAAATTTTATATATACTGTGGTAAATTCTCTAATATATTTTTCATTTTATTTTATCATAAATTACATTTTCTTGTACATATATTTGCATTATTATAAATATATGATATTCATATATTTTATTTACTTTTCTGTCTGACATCTTATTTTGAATATTATAATTTCGTTATTTATGGCTTACTTAAATATTCATAATGCATATTAAACACATGTATAAATGTAAAACATAATTCTTTTAAACCAAATTATATAATTAATTTAGAAGTAAAAGCATTTATAATTATCATAAATTACATTAAAATATAGTCATTATAATTCATATATTAGAAAGAAAAGTGTTAAACAAAATATATTTAAAAAATTAAAGGATATATATCTCTCTGTAAGAGATTTGGATCCTTTTTACACTTCTTTAATTCGTTGAAGAATCGTGAGACACATTGCTTGTCGCTAATAAATCTAATAATTTGCCTAATGTTAAGACATACATCTCGCGGAACGATAATATGAAATCATATTCTCTTTCAAGAATCTGTCTTATTTCCATATAGCTTAGCGAATCGATACCGAGTTTGTCGAAGCTCTCATTAATATTTTCGGAGATATTTTCAATACCAAGGATATTGCCAACGATTTTGGCGACATGAGTAATTTTGTTGTCGTTATTTGTAGATTTATGTTTCTCGGCTATTACCGTAGACGATAATACTGGGTATGGTTGTTGAAGAAAAAGGTCTAGGGTCTCAAGACAGCTCGTCACACGTTGCGGTAAAACATATCTTACATCAAAAATTACATTCTTCACTGTATCTGTAAAAATCAGAGCATCATGTAGTGATATCGAATGTAAAAAATGATTTCAGTTCGCTTCGATAATTTGGTCAAAATATTTTATATATTTAAATATTTAAATATTTAACTCATGCTTTTATTCTAATAATGTAACGTTGTACGTCTGCAATTATTTTCTACTAATACTTCCTTCATAATTTTTACAGTATATATTTCTTACAATAAAAGGTTGTTAATATTTCTAATAAAATTAAATAATATAATAAATCTTCCAAGAGTCGTACAAATCATTATGTTGACTAGGTGAGTACTTTTTATCGAGTAAAATGGAAGTATTTTTTCCGGTAGAATTTATAAAATCAAAACAATGAAATTCGATCGAAGATCATGAATTTTATAAAAAGAAATAAAGAAATGTCTCACCAGCAAACAAACCGACATCATCTATACTACCCCACTGAATAGCAAGACCGGGCAAACCAGCAGTATGTCTCTGCTCCATCATTCTCTCCATAGCTGAATTTGCGAGACCATAATTAGATTGACTGGCATTGCCGCGGCCACACGATACGGTCGAGAACACGACAAAATGATCCAATGATGGACAAGACTTTCTCGATTTCACGTCCAGATTCCTCGTACCATTGACTTTTGGCAAGGTTACAGTCTCGAAGTCAGCCACTTGTAAGTTCTCGAACAAAGCGTCACGTAGAACGCCGGCCAGATTAAATATACCCCCTACTGGAGCCAACCGATTACTCTCGTCGATTAAATATTCGGCGCCCGATAACGTCGTGATATCTGCCGTAGAAATGATGACTTTGATGCCATTATTGCGCCAATGTTGAACGCGAGATGCCTGATAACCAGTGCGTATTCCAGTACGTGACACGAGAATGATGAATTTAGCGCCGCGGGTGATCATCCAATTGGCCAATTCCAAACCGAATCCACCGAGACCACCGATCAACACATACGACTTGTCTGGATACATGTAAGTACGTGGCATGGCCGCTATCGTTTTTAGCATCGGTAACATGCATTTCTGCGGCTCTTCGTCTCGAATATTCAGCAATACTTTGCCAATATGCTTGCCTGTCGTCATAAATCTGAATCCTTGCTCGAGGCTTTGCTTCGAAAATATAGTAGCGGGTAATGGACATACTACACCATTCTCGATTCCCTCCGTGATTAGTCTAATCGTTTTTCGCTTATCCTCGATATTTTGGAACAACAATTCTAAAAGTATACCATGATAGGAAATATTCTTTAAAAACATAGACATATCTACAGAAATGCCATTCAACATGTCGTGCTTCCCAATATCGAGGAAGCGACCGTCCTTCGCGAGGCACCGTACGCTGGCATGCAGTTTCTCTTCTGACAACGAATTCAATACTACATCGACCCCACGTCCTCGGGTTTCGTCCAATATTAGCTGTTCGAAACTCGTATCTCGGGAATTGCCAATGTGCTTGTCGGTCAATTGCGAAAAGGTCTTCTTGAGATACAATCGTTTTTTTTCTGTGCTGACAGTGGTGAAGACGATGCAGCCAGCATGCAGAGCGATGATAATCGCCGCTAGGCCGACGGCACCCGCACCAGAGTGAATCAGTACGCTTTCGCCCGCTATCAATCGACCTCGTACAAACAGAGCATAGTAACTGGTCACATAAGCGACCGGTATTGTCGCCGCCTGCTCCAATGTCCATTTGTCAGGTACTTTCCAAAGAAAATCGGAATCCGGCAACACAGTGGTCGCCAAACCATTAGATTTGGTTAAACCCATTACTCTACATCCGTTTGCGTCTCTCCCGGAGAACTCTAATCCTAATACATAGTCTTCTGTAGTAAGTTCTAACAATGAAAGAGCATCTGCTGATAGTTTGCCAGTCGCCAGCAAAATATCCCTGTTAGTATAAAATTTATGAACAGGTTTATCAATGTGGGATTATTAATGTAGTAACATATTTTTATTACAATTTTAGAGAGAATTTCGGAGAGAGCAAGAAATGACGCTTGAAATTTGCCTGAAATTTAATGATGCATAATACACACTGCAGAGTGTATTTCGATATTTGGTCTGACAATACGTTAACGGACTTTGAATCCATTCCAAACTATTTAAATTTCCCGTCGTCAATGTATCCACATAAGCGTGCTCTGATTCCACGTAGTTATGTTGATCTAATTTCAAGTGCCGATAACTACCCCATTGACCTCCTTTCAATACATTAGCCTTTAGTCCTTTTTCCAATTGCTCCACGTAGAATTGCGAGAGTAAATCAAATTTGGGAGCATTACTGTCCTGAATGAAAACATAACGCACGTTTGCGATCTCGCGCCGAATACAATTTACGAATCCGACTAGACCTGTGAATGAAAAATAACAAGATTAATTCATTGATAAACACTCGGATAAAGCTCTGATAGAAGATTATTTTTATAATTTTAAGTAAATACTTTTAAACATGAATTATTTTTATTTCAATAATTATTATATATAAACATGTATAAATACCAAGTACTTCTTCGCCTTGAGATACAAAATATATATTTTGATTTTTACTATCAAATTTTCTCAATGCCGCTTTCGCATTTGTCAACCATGAGAAATCATTTCCTGTGATTTGTATTAAGATTGATTCTTTTCTCACTTTATGCTTTCTCAATAAGAAGTAACTCTTTCCCGAGGAGTTAACCAATTGTTTACCAAGCAACATCAAATTGGCCTCCTTTAGTGCAATCTTTAAATCTCTAGCGGAAAATGTACCAGTCTCCTCTAGAAGAATAAAGCAATTAGAACTTAAGGTAGCCGCTAGATTTTTCAGAACGATGCAAGATCGGCCAGAGAGGACTTCCGCTGCTATGATGAGATGCATATTCTGAACTGGGAATGTACCGCTCGCATCCCATTTCATTACATTAAAATTAATGTCCATTTGATTGAAATCTGTCTCATAATCGCATGTGGAACTAACGGCTACTTCTAAATCAATCTAAAACAACAGTAGTGATATGTCCATACGTATTTAGAATGTTGCACATGTACAAAAGACTTTTATATACAAAATAGGCTTATGAAAATTGCGTATGTATTAAAGAAAATGTGTATCTCTTATACTATAAATCACACGAAATCACACTATTTATCCAAGATATCTATTCAGTTATTCCTGTCGACGATAGTCATTAAAATTTTGTAGCGAGTACTTACCGTAACGACGGGTTCATCACAAAGAATATCAAGTACAAGCGGCGCCAAGAGGCTTTCCGCTATTCGATTGTCCGCGACTTCCACAGCCTTGATTATCGATGTCACTACGTTCTCACACACAATTTGTAACAGTACAGTGAGTGCGTGAATCTTTTCTCTCTTTGGATCTTTTAAGACCAAGCTGTGTGAGTTTTCATATGGCACGAAAACGTAACGTTCGTATTTGGGTTTAGCTGTCTTCTGCAGTCGCTGAGATGTGGTGTATTTCGTACCTCTTATTTCAATACCGCCCGATTTGATGAAATTGACATTTTTATAGTAATATATTGGCAATCCGCCGTTCTTTGGTAATTCATTGACCATTCGTTTATGAAGAACGGGATCGATTAGAACATAAGGAATCTTCGAGCCATAAGATAATCTCCGATTGTTGGACAATAATTTGAATTGAAACATACAATCGATATACGTAATCCATTCGTTAAACCAATATAATTCGCCAACGTTGAAAGAATTGTCACAGCATTTTAATCCCTTGAAAGTACCATTGTATTCATATCCACGTAATCTCAATTCCTTATAAATATCCTCCGTATTCAATAGAAGCTCGGTGGGCGGCATCTCAAACGATGGTAGGTTTAGTTGATTTTTTTCGATAGTTTCAGCAGGACGGATATTCCCGCTGATTACAATCGTATTCGCTTCGAGAATCACAAAATCTCCCGTTTCCTCGACAAGTTTTATCAAAAACTTGATTGTTTTATTCTCCGGTAAGAAGGTAATGCGCTGAAACCATATGTTCTCGAAAATTACTGGTAGTCGCTCGAAATCGGTGTCGCGTAGCTTTGCAAAGAATTGCCAAACCATCAACATATAACAGCCGCCTGGGTAAACAATTCGCCCATCAATTTTATGTCCCGTTAGATATGCGTCTGTATTTCTCGACAAATTTACCTCTATGACATACTCTCCAGACGATTCTTTCGACTTATGCTTAAAATCTGGCACCTGCCATGTAGCAGAGTGGTCCCACTTGATCAAAGATCCGATCATCGGTGTTCCGCGACTAACAGGAAAACTGATTGACGGATACAGTTTAGAGACGTCGGGTTGCGCGCCGGCTATGTACAACTTTCCCACATTAGATAGTAAAAAGATCAAATTATTTGAATGATTCAGCTTTTGGAGACCGATATTAGTCACTGTGGATGGTAGCGATTTACGCAGGATTGTCTGTAGCAAGCAATGTGGCGCGATTTCGATGGTTATCGCATTCTTCGGGATATGCGCGATCGCCTCCTGAAAAAGCACAGGTGACAGCATATTGTTCACGTGATACTCTGGTGAACAAAATTGTGCGAGTGGGCTATCCCATGCGGCCTCGGGTACTGAACTAGAAATCCATCTGATAGATCTTTGCTTTGGCTTTGGCACAATCATATCGAGAGAAGTGCAAAATTTTGATTTAACTGGAACAATGTATTTGCTGTGATAAGCAACGCCACAGCAATTGATCATTTTGGCAAAGATATTTTTGCTCTTCAACTCTTTTACGAACTTTTCCACAGACACGGGTGAGCCAGAAATTGTAACTAAATCGGCGGAATTATGACAGGCTGGAGCGATATCGGTCAAACACATGTTCTTGACTTCCTCCCAATTTAAGTTTACCACCGCCATAGCGCCTGGTTCCAAATCGGATTCTATGATCGACTTGCCTCTATAATAGGCCGTCAAAATCGTTTGCTCTAGGGTAAACGCGCCATCGGCATACGAGCAACTTATTTCACCAAGGGAATGTCCAATTATACCGTCTGGTCGCACACCCATAGATATTAACATATCGATGAGAGCGATTTGAATGGCCACGATTGTCACGGTAGCAACTAATACGTTCTCGTATGTTTCATCGGTACCGTTAATGATGATATTCATTAGATCAACATTGTGCTGCTTTAATACATCCGCGCATCGCTGTAAACTGTGCTGACACGTTTCTATTTCAAGCAATTCGCGTCCCATACCCGGCCATTGAGTACCTATACCGGAAAATATAAACCAAATTGGACGTTTTTCGTCATAATTCGCCTCGACAATCTCGCGGGTACTATCATAAGCGAGTATTTCATAGCCACGAATGTTGTGATTCGATAAGTTATCACTGTGCACGGAATACAGTAGAGATAAAAACTCATTGTCTTGTCGATGCTCGTTTGCTTTGTTCAGTAATATCTGTACAGCTTCCTTTGTACGGCCCGATACGGCGACCAGCTTCGGCAATAGCTCGACGGTATCCAATGATATCTTTACCTTCGAATTGCTGCGCAGAATGACGTGCGAATTCGTACCTCCAATGCCAAATGAATTGATACCCACAAGACCGCCGTTCCATGGCTTAGCTTTGTCGATTACGCGAATACGTCCCTCGGTCAACGCGGGAATATCTGGATTTGGAGTAACAAAGTGCAGATTCGCCGGAATCGCACCGGTTTCCATCGCAATCAGCACCTTGGCGATTGAGCACAATCCACTGGCAGCTTCTCCGTGTCCCATATTTGATTTAACCGAGCCGATTAACAGCGGTGTCTTTCTGTCTTTGCAAAACAACTTATCGATGGCAACAAGTTCCTCCGGATCACCCGCTCTGGTACCGGTACCATGCGCTTCCACGTAAACTACGTTTTTGGGATCGATATTCACCTCATTGTACATTTTCTGCAACATTATATACTGCATGTCACCACTCGGGTGCATAATACCTTCGGGCTTGTAGCCATCCGTGTTTATCGCTGTGTTCACTACTGTGGCATACACTCTGCGCGCATCTGTCATTTTCTGTAGATATATTGCGACCACCGCTTCGGCTCTCACGTAACCGTCAGCTAAGATGTCGAATGATTTACATTTGCCATCTGTGGACAGAAGATTCATGCGATGATGATGAAGGCTATAAATCGGATCGAGCACAAGATTCAATCCGCCGACGATCGCTGCGTCGCATTCGCCAGTGCGTATCGCTACGATTGCCTGATGCATAGCTGTCAAGGACGAAGAACATTGGGTATCCACCGAATAACTGGGTCCAATTAAATCGAAAAAGTAAGAGATTCTGGTGGCTATCATTCCTTGTCTACTTCGAACCCATTCATGTCCTGCAAGTAGACGATAAATTTTTCTGGCTTATTCAAAAGATATTTTATTCGAGTGATGTTTATAGTATTCTTGTAGCAAAAAACTAAAAAATTTTGCTAAATATGTATGTATTACAATGTAATATGTATTATATGTGTATATGAAAATTATAATATAATATTATATAATATTTATTATACAATATAGAACGCCTTATACCTTACGCCTTATATACCTTATTGTATAAGAGAGAACGCCTTATTATACCTCAATTGTCAAGGTAATATTATTAAAGATAACAATTTAACTGATTGAGTTTTCTTATCATGTTTATTTTAAATTAATTAAATTAATAAAATTAACTAATCATAAAAAGGAAAGGTGTTTAGACACTAGGTCTTTACTGTAATAATATGTAATAATTAATAAAATTTTACATGTGTTAAAAAAACATAATAGGATTAACCAAACATTTCGATCTTCTCTGTATGCTTCTCATTGGTGATGAAAGAATATTAAATTAAAATAAAAAAAAGAAACAAAAATAAGTGAAAAGATATGTAAATCATTAGATGGTATAAATAAATTTCACTTTAAAGATCATAATATGGATAATAAAGAACACAATCGTGATTTAAAATTGTCGAGGTTTTTTTTTCCTTTTTATGATTAGTTATTATTTATAACTTATTATTAATTATTATTTACATTAATAAAAACATTTTTTTTATTGCTCTCAAATTACTATGCTTTAGCTCTTGTCAATTTTAACATTTATATTAATTTTATTAAATAATTTTGTTAAATAAATAATTTGATATAAATACAAATATCATGTATAACATATTCTAAATCTACTTTTAAACTTATATATGTACTTATAAAAAGTAATGTTTTAATTAATTGTATATTTATTTCAAAATCTTATATGTATTTTTCCAATTGTATAAAAAAATATTTCTACATAAAGAATTTATCACACATTTTTATGTATTTTTCATATATATCTTAGATTTGTAAGATTGTACATTTAAAAACTGATTTCATTACATAAGAATATCTTTCATAATATAATTTTATAGAAATTTTTATAAGCTTTTGTTCTTTCATTTGTATGATTTAATTTTTAAAAATTGATTTAACTATTTAAGAATATTGTTTTATAATGTGATTTTTAACAGACAAAAATTTTCACCATAAAATTTCAAAATGTACCTACCGTCCGGCATTCTTTTCCAAAAATCACTCGCATCCGAAGAGTAAACACCAATGAACACACCGGTATTCGATTTCTTTAGAGTAGAGGGATTGATACCAGCGTCAATTAATGCCTCATATGTCACTTCCAGCATAATGCGAAGCTGCGGATCCATTATATGCGCTTGTTTAGGAGGTATCTTGAAGAAAGAGGCATCGAAACTATGAAGATTTTTAAGTTTGCCAAATCTAGAGGGTAAATCGTAAAGTTTCGGTTTCCAACGTCTCTCGTCCTTAGTGACCATATCCGTTCCTTTTATTAAATTTTCTTTAAATTCTTCAATGTTTGACGATTCAGGCAGACGGCCTAGGAAAAATATTGATATTACAAATAATCATCTTATAATAAAATTGGTGTTGTATCATAACCACTTGAGATAATATAATTACCTGAAATGCCCGCAATGACAATATCACCTTCAAAATAAGTAGGCATCTTGATCTTCGAATAATAAGATTTTGCTTTGACTAAATTAACTTTTCTATCTCTCTGTAAAAATAAAAATTCTTTCTTCTAATTTTAGATTACACATATAATTGTTTTAATGGAATTGAATTACGTTCATTGTATAATTTTATTTTTATTGAAGTTTCTGTCATAATATTTTAATATAAAAAGACAAATACATAATAAATAATTATATTATATTTAAAAAAGAAAATTAATTAACCTCTTTTTTTAACTTTATACTAACTTTCCTGGAATATAAGAAGAACTTATTTTTCAAAACTGATTGATTTAAGCCGAAAAAACTTTGTGTCTGCTACATTATTCCTGTTTAATTCTTTGAGTCACTAATTTTTTACGACGATCTACTTATCCAGAGTTGGGAAGTAACGCGTTATACTTGTAATCAGGGTTGGGAAAGTTACTTTTTAAAAGTAACTTGTTACCGTTACCGTTCTTTTTTCTAAGAAGTAACTCGTTACCGTTACTCGTTACCAATTTTCAAAAGTAACTCGTTACCGTTACCGTTACTTAAAAATAACGCGTCGTTACAATTTTCGTTACTTTTTAAATATAGGTTTATTAAATATTACAAGGTTTATTTTAATTTTTCCTCCTGCACAAAATTTATAGGCAAAGGCAAAATTTTTTTCGTTGCTAAGATTTGGTCGAAATTGAAAAACTTTAGAATATGCCGGCCATGGAATTTCACATTCCATTTCCTTTGAAGATTGAGATGTACTTGTTTCTTCCATTATTTTTTACTATAATCTTCAGATTAAGATACAAATATCTTTTTGAGATTGAATATCAATACGTATGCCATGTGGAAAATGACTATAATGCCGGCAAACTAAGCAGCTTATGCGAGCACGTGCTTGCACACTATTATAAGAAACAAAAGTTGTTACAAAATCTCAAAGATGAGATTTTTCTCATAACATTAAGAAATATAATTCCGTCATTATAATTCCGACAAACATCTATACACTTCACAATTATATAAGAGACACGTATTTCTTTATAAGTATCCACATAGCTATTAAGGGGAAAAACACTCTCTTGAAAAAATCACTTTTTATATTTCTGAGAGAATATCATCTAAATGATAAAAGGTACAAAAAAAAATTTCGAATAAAAATTTGGTTTTGAATGTACTTTATAATCATATTTTTCGATAATATCATATTTTTGGAAAAAAACACTTAAATTAAAAAAAGCATAAGTATATAAAAGCATAAATAATAATAAAAATTTTTAAATTAATATGGAAGATAATAATGTAATATATGCATACTTATTTTTATTCAGTCGTAGTAGAACGAAATCGCTGATATATTGTTCTAAACTGCTAGTTTGATTCAAGATAGACGTTTTTATAATAATACGTATATGTTCCGTTGGACATGTACGTTGGATGCATTTGTAAAATTATCTTATATTAATATCATGCCTTTGCATCTATTTTAAGCGCATTTATTTTTATTCATTGCAATAAATTGTCGCCTATTAATATTTAATTTTATAATTTGTATTTTGCATATCTGGAAACTTCCATAAATTTGCTTTTTTATGAGGTCTGTATTAAATTAGCTCTGAAATTTTTCGAATTGGCACCAGATTTCTAATAACTTATGAAAAATATGTTTCTTTTCGTATTTATATATATTTTGATGGTTTTAATTCTGACTGCCATATTCGATCTGTCATTTTGAATTTTTGAAATTTATCTTCAAATTTGTAATCCAACTTTCTTATGCCAGTAGCCCTTTCCTTATGAATATTTTCTAATACAATATTATTGAGTTTTTTAGAAGATTGCGTATTTAAGTAACTATAATATCAAAAAAATCTATATATTATTATATGATATACTATTATATGATAAATTTTTTGTTGATAAATTTTTGATAAACGGTGATCGACGGTTAAAACCGTAGATGTCTATGATTAAGATATTTTATATATATTTAGTTTTCAGCAAACATCAAGTAATGATTATATAACTGTTAGTTACATACTTTCCCACTCAACAATTATTGTTATATAATACATAAAAGTTATATAACATGTAACAGTTATATTGTTGAATGGAAAATTATAGCTAATAATTATATAATTGTTACTTGGTGTTTGCTGAAATTAATATCATGCACATTATAAATATTACTGACAAAGAAAGGATCGAAAGAGTCCCCCTCCGATTTTGATGAGCTGTGATATGGGATACATTGTCTAGATTAATATAAGAGATGCGTATTTTTTTATAAGTGCCCATATAGCCATTAAGAGGGTGAAACACTCTCTTGAAAAAATCGCTTTTTATATTTCTGAGCAAATATCATCTAAACGATAAAAGGTTTGAACGACAAAAAAATTTCAATTAAAAGTTTTATGGCTTTGAATGTACTTTATAATCATATTTTTCGATAATATCATATTTTCGGAAAGAGACTTAAATTTAAAAAATATATAAGCATATAAAAGTATGAACAATAATAAAAATTTTAAAATTAATACATAATGTATGCATACTTATTTTTATTCAATTGTAGTAGAACGAAACCGTTGATGTACCATATGTGGTGTTGTACTAAACTGCTGTTTCGATCCGATAGATGCTTTTATAGTAATGCGTATCTGTATGCACTGAAAACATTATATTCTCAACTGAAGAATATGCCACTTATCTTTAGAATATACTACAGATAAGTGGTATATTCTTAAGTTAAGAAGAATATGCCACTTATTTTTACAATATAAAGATAAGTATATTTATAAGTATGGTATATTTTCAAGTTAAGAATATAAATTTTTCAGTGTAGTAGCGCACGTGTTCCTGATAAGATTTATGATAATATTTGGAGCTATAATTAGAAGTCTCTGTCTTATATTGATAGATATATTTAAACTATTTAAATCAACTGACGCTACATGCTCTGTACGGATCTCTTGAACAGACTAACTCTCCAAAATGTTGGCTTCGCTATCTGTTCTATCAGGTATCACGGGGAGGAGAAACATACATGTTTTTGTCTATTCTTACATTCTTTCTTACGTTTCTTACGTTGCCGTGCGTACCTTATAGCTGAATCTGACGCTATACATATCAAACTTGATAGAATATAAATGTACCATATATTCTAACACGCCTCCTTACATTTATATTCTACGCTTTAAATTTTACATACTTGCTTTTACAACAGTTTAGTTTAGATACGCTTTTTCGGAAAGCTCTTCTGAAAAGACGACAACATTTCTTTTTATATTACATTCAATAGTTTCTTGAATTTTTCAAACTTTTCTCTACTTAGTGCTTTAGTAAATCTGCAATGTTATTATTAGAATCTACTTTAATTATTTCAATTATCTCAGTCTTTACGCATTCATGTACAAAATGATAATGAATTTCAATATGCTTCGAGTTCTTTGTAAAATTTCCAAAATTTGCTATGTTTATTGCACTTGAGTTATCTTCATAAATTTTTATTGGTTCAATTATATTTATTTCAAATACTTTCACTAATTCCCTTATATACTTTAGCTCACTTACTACTTCTGATAGAGCTACATACTCTGCGTACGTCGAGGACTTAGTTACACATTTTTGTTTCCGCGATTTCCAGTCAATTACATTTCCATACAAACTAATTACATATCCAGATGTGGATTTCCTATCTATATTGTCACCTGCCCAATCAGCATCTACGTAGCAACTTATAATTTCAGCGTTTTCATTTCTTTGATACCATAAACTTAAATCTTTTGTTAAATACAAGTACTTCAATATTCGCAAAGCGTATTTAAAATGTGTTTCGTTATAACAATTCTGATACCTGTTTAAATAATTTACATTATGACTCACATCAGGTCTTGTACTAGAGCTTACATAGAGTAAAGCACCAATTAAATTTCTATACTTTATATCTGATACACATTTTTCAGCCTTTTCAATCTTTAAATTTCTTACAAAAACTCTACTACCGTATAAATGTTCATCATTTGGCTTTCTTTTAAAAAATATTTCATAAGGAGTTTTCCTTTCTATCGTATTAGCTAATGTACGATTTTTCAAGTATATCGCCGCACATACTATTTCAGGCCAATATCGTTTATGTACTCGTACCTCTGCAAGCAAACAACGCGCCATATCCATAATCGTTCTATTAAACCGTTCCGCAGTGCCGTTTAACTCATGTACGTATGCTGGACAATTATTCATAATAATACCCTTTTCTTTGGCAAATTTATAAAAACGGTTATTTATGTATTCTCTCCCGTTATCGCACCTTAGAATTTTAACTTTTTTTCCGGTTAGATTTACGCTTTCATTTATGTATTGTACTAGGCAATTGAAAACTTCATCTTTAGATCTGTAGAAAAATGACATTTTCGAAAAATTTGATTACACTGTTATAAATCGAAACTATAAAACTTTTCACAACGAAACTATAAAACTTTTATTTGAAACTTTTTTTGTATCTTTTATCGTTTGGATGGTATTCGCACAGAAATACAAAAACTAATTTTTTTCAAAAGGACATTTCCCTTATGGCCGTAATGAGCTTATAGCACGTATAAAGAAATACGTATTATTTTAGTCTAAACTACAACATATCCGAAGCTCATCAAAATCGGTGGAGTACACTTCCAACCCTTTCCTTATGAGTATTTTCTAATACAATATCATTAACTGATGCAGCAATTGACAGCAGAAAAAGACAGTTAGAAAAAGATGGACATTTATTACTAATAATTGTACTATTCCTCAGCTTGAATTCATCTCAGCAATTAGATTCGTATTGAAATCAACGTTTTTCGTTTTTAATGGTGTCATTTACCAACAAACTTATGGCACTCTTATGGGTTCTCCTTTGTCTCCTATTATTGCTAATATTGTTTTTCAGGATTTGGAGGATAAAACTCTAGCAAACTTGCAATTTACTCCTTCATTCTACGTTAGATATGTTGATGATGTGGCTTTATGTATCCCGTCTTCGTCTGTCGAAGATACATTAAATATATTTAACTCATTTCACCTTAGAATCCAATTCACCTTAAAAGTGGGTGAGAATAAAAGACTCGAGTTTTTAGACGTCACTATGGTTTTACAGGACAATTCGTTAATTTTTGACTGCCACAAGCCAACATTTTCTGGTAGATATCTCAATTTTTTATCACAGCATTCTCTTTGCCAAAAGAAGAGCACGATAATTGATTTAACGGATAGGACCTTCTCTCTGTCTCATCCTAATTTCCATCAAAAAAATTTTAAGCTTATTGTTCAGATTCTTATAAATAATAACTATCCCTTAAATTTTATATTTCAGATCATACGCGAACATTTAAAGTTTTTAATTCATAAGTCAAACAATAAAGACAAGATCGAGGATAACAGAGCGGTTAGATATTTTACAGTGCCTTTTTTCACTGATTTTTCTGAGACCTTCGGTTTTATCATATTATAAAAGACATTGATAACGTCAGAACGTCTTACTTCAGCTTGAATAAATTAGATAAGCTAATTAAAGGTCATAAGGATCCTCTATCTAAAGCGTTGTCAATGAATATCGTTTATAAGATAGACTGTAATGATTGCAATGCGTCCTATGTAGGCCAAACGGGTAAACGGTTCCAAACTAGAATCGAAGAGCACCGTAAACATATCAATAGAAACTCTTCGAGTCGCTCAGTTATTACTGATCATAAGGTTTTCGATCACGATTGTAAATGGGAGAATGTCAAAATCCTGGACAGTGAACCGAAGTTTCATAAATGTCTGGTTTCGGAAATGCTTTTTATTAAACGACAAAGTAATGGTTTGAATTTGCAGACTGACATCGAATGTCTACATTATAGGTATATATCGGCTTTAAACAGGCTCCCAAACATTTGTCTACACTGTAAAAAAGTATATAAAATTACACATATATAATCAGTGTCAATTACGCTATTTATAACGGAAATATATAAATTCATGTACTTTTAAAACTTAGTTTTTTTTACTTTTTATTGTGTAAATATTCGTTTATATTTGATGAGAAATTACAAGGTTAAAAGTGTAATTTTTGGATTTTATGTAAATGTACAATTTTTTGTAACACACGGAAACACTGTGGTCGCCAAACCTCTAGATTTGTCTAATAAACCCATTACTCTAAGGTAGTAGTTCTTTAACTTGTTGAAGGATCGTGAGACACATCGTTTTTCGCTAATAAATCTAATAATTTACTTAACGTTAAGACATACATCTCTCGGAACGATAATAAGATACCATATTCTCTTTCAAGAATCTGTTTTATCTTCGTATAGCTTAGCGAATTGATGCCGAGATTGTCGAAGCTGTCATTGATATTTGCCGAGATGTTTTCAATACCAAGAATATTAGCAACGATTTGGATGATATCAACTTTGTCGTCGTTATTTGCAAATTTGTGTTTCTCAGCTATCACTGTAGATGATAATACTGGATATGGTTGTTGAAGAAAAACATCTATGGTCTCAAGACAGCTGGTCACACGTTACGGTAAAACATATCTTACATCAAAAATTTTATTCTTCATTGTATCTGCAAAAATCAGAGTATCATGTAGTGATATCGAATGTAAAAAATGATTACTGATCGCTTCGATGATCTGGCCAAAATAATTTATATATTTAAATATATACAATAATTTGCACTCTTATTTTAATAATATTGCGTTATTGTTATTAGTTTGCAATTATGTCCTATTAATAATATCTCTACATTATTGTTTTATATATTTCTTGCAATAAAAAGTTGTTAATGTCTCTATTAATAAAAATAAATAATGTAATAAATTATCCTCTAAAAATCATATCATTATATTGGCTATGTAGATGTACTTTTTAAAGAATAAAATGGAAATATTTTTTATGTAAAGGATCTTTGATCCTTTTTCGGATCACAATGTTCCTTTTCATTTTATAAATTACGCCTAAATACAAAAATATAATTCCCATTGAATCTCATAAAAAGAAATAGAGAAATGTCTCACCAACGTATAAACCGACATCTCCTATACTGCCCCACTGAATAGCAAAACCAGCAGTATGTCTCTGCTCCATCATTCTCTCTATAGCTGAATTTGCAAGACCATAATTAGATTGACTGGCATTGCCGCGGCCACATGATATGGATGAGAACACGACAAAATGATCCAATGATGGACAGGACTTTCTCGATATTACATCCAGATTTCTCGTACAGTTGACCTTCGGCGAGATTACAGTCTCGAAGTCGGCCACATGCAAGTTTTCAAACAAAGCGTCACGTAGAACGACGGCCAGCTTTCCAAAGCATTATAATGAAGTATTTTTTCATTAAGTACTTTTCAAGTTATGAGGCTTGAAATAATTTTTTAATTTTACATAAAACCATACATATTACCATAAAATATCTTGTAAAATATTCATTTTTCGATTATCTTACCTTAATACTTTTATGCACAAAATAATGTCAGAAATCGATTGGTGTAAAGAAAACACATAATTATTCCGGAGAAAAAATATATAATTTGCAATTAATAATTGCATTTATATAGTTATTTTTTCTCAAAAATAACTATGTTTTTCTTTACATCAATCGATTTTTCACCTTTACCGAATAGTTAGTTGAATATTTATTCCAACTCTAAATAAAATACATTTCTTTTTATCTATCAATAATGTAATGATTGCCTGTCTAATTAGTTAAATCAAAATAGGACTCTTTGATTGGTTAATGATTATCCTAGATATCGATCCATATAAATATAATATGGCAATGGGATATTACTTTGCAACAATAAAAAAGTATACGAAAAGTATTTCTAGATATGTAAGTTCTGCATGCCGTTTTCACGAAAGATTAGTAATATATATATACTAGTAATCTCTAATATTCTTTATCAATTTTGTCATTATACATATTCCTATACATACATATTTGCATTAATATATAATATTCATGTAACTTTATTTACTTTTCTGTATGACACCTCTTATTTTGAATATTACAAATTCATTATTTATGACTTACTTAAATATTCATAATACATATTAAACACATGTATAAAGGCAAAAAATAAATTTTTTTAACAAAATCATATAATTAATTTAGAAGTACTTTACAATTTATCTTTATTATATATAAGTTACACTAAAATATAATCATTATTATAATTGAAATATTAGAAAGAAAAGTGTTAAACAAAAAACATTTAAAAAATTGAAGAATATATTTCTCTCCGTAGATTTGTGACCATCTTTGTACTTCTTTAACTTGTTGAAATATCGTGAGACACATCGCTTTTCGCTAATAAATCTAATAATTTATTTAACGTTAAAACATACATCTCTCGGAACGATAATAAGATGCCATATTCTCTTTCAAGAATCTGTTTTATCTCCATATAGCTTAACGAATCGATGCCAAGATTATCGAAGCTGTCATTGATATTTACCGAGATATTTTCAATACCAAGGATATTGGCAATGACATGAACGACATGATCAATACTGTCGTCGTTATTTACAGATTTACGTTTCTCGGCTATCACTGTAGATGATACTACTGGGTATGATTGTTGAAGAAAAACGTCTATGGTCTCAAGACAGCTGGACACACGCTGCGGTAAAATACCACTACGCGTTATACCGATGTGTGTATTCTGCATCGTATCTGTAAAAATCAGAGTATCATATAATGATATTAAATATAAAAAATGATTATTATTCGCTTTAAATATTTAATTTGTGCTTTTATTGTAATAATATTAGAAATCTGCAGTTTTAATAACGTTATAAGTCTGCAATTATCTTCTACTAATAGTTCCTCTATAATTTTACTGTATGTATTACTTCCAACAAAAATTGTTAATGTTTCTAATAATAAAAATAAATAATTTAATAAATCTTCTCAAAGAGTCATACAAATCATTATGTTGACTACGTAAATATTTTTTTACAGTAAAATGAAAGCAGTTTTTAGGTAAAATTTAATAAAAGAAAAAGGGCAATGAAATCTGAAAAAGATCTAAGATTATTGAATCTCAAAGAAAGAAATAGAGAAATGTCTCACCAATATATAAACCAACATCTCCTATAACACCCCATTGAATAGCGAGACCGGGCAAACCAGCAGTATGCCTCTGTTCTATGATTTTCTCTATAGCTGAATTTGCGAGACCATAATTGGATTGACTCGCATTGCCTCGGCCAGACGCTATAGAAGAGAACACAACAAAAAGATCCAATGATGGACAAAACTTTCTCGATACCATGTCCAGATTCCTCGTACCGTTGACCTTTGGCAAGATTGCAGTCTCGAAGTCGACCATTTGCAGGTTCTCAAACAAAGCGTCACGTAAAACGACGGCCAGGTTAAATATACCGCCCACAGGAGCCAATCGATTACTCTCGTCGATCAAACATTCGGCTCCCGAAAATGTTGTAATATCTGCCGTAGAGATGATAACTTTGATGCCATTATTGCGCCAATGTTGCACGCGTGACATCTGATAACCAGTGCGTATGTCAGTACGTGACACGAGAACGATGAATCTAGCACCGCGGGTGATCATCCAATTGGCCAATTCCAAACCAAATCCACCAAGACCACCGATCAATACATACGACTTGTCTGGATACATATAAGTACGTGGTATGGCCGCTACCGTTGTTTGCATCGATAGCATATGTTTCTGTGGCTCTTCGTCTCGAATCTTCAGCAATACCTTGCCGATATGTTTGCCTGCCATCATAAATCTAAATCCTTCCTCGAGGCTTTGCTTCGAAAATACGGTCGTTGGTAATGGACGCACTACACCATTCTCGATTCCCTCTGAGATTAGCCTAACAGTTTCTAGCTTATCTTCGCTATCCTCGAACAGCATTTCTAAAAGTATACCATGATAGGAGCTGTTCTTTAAAAATATCGACATATCTATGCGATTGCCATTCAACATGTCGTACTTCCCAATATCGAGGAAGCGACCGTTCTTCGCGAGGCACCGTACACTGGCATGCAGTTTCTCTTCTGACAGTGAATTCAATACTACATTGACCCCACGTCCTCGGGTTTCGTCCAAGATCAGCTGTTCAAAACTCGTATCTCGGGAATTGCCAATGTGCTTGTCGGTTAATTGCGAAAAGGTCTTCTTGAGATAGAATCGCTTTTCCTCTGTGCCGACAGTGACGAAGACGGTGCAGCCGGCATGCAGGGCAATGTTAATTGCCGCTAGGCCCACGGCACCCGCACCAGAGTGAATCAGTACGCTTTCGTCCGCTTTCAATCGACCTCGTATAAATAGAGCATAGTAACTGATCATATAAGCGACCGGTATTGTCGCCGCCTGCTCCAATGTCCACTTGTCAGGTACTTTCCAAAGAAAATCGGAATCCGGCAATACGGTGGTCGCCAAACCTCTAGATTTGGTTAAACCCATTACTCTACATCCGTTTGCGTCTCTCCCGGAGAACTCTAATCCTAATACATAGTCTTCTGTAGCAAGCCCTAACGATGAAAGAGCATCTGCTGATAATTTGCCAGTCGCCAGCAAAATATCCCTGTTAGTATAAAATTTATGAACAGGTTTATCAATGTGGGATTATTAATGTAGTAACATATTTTTATTACAATTTTAGAGAGAACTTTGGAGAGAGCAAGAAATGATGCTTGAAACTTGCCTGAAATTTAATGACGCATAGCATACACTACAGAGTGTATTTGGATATTTGGTCTGACAATACGTTAATGGACTTTGAATCCATTCCAAACTATTTAAATTTCCCGTCATCAATGTATCCACATAGGCGTGCTCTAGTTCCACATAGATATGTTGATCTAATTGCAAGTGCCGATAACTACCCCATTGACCTCCTTTGAAGACGTTAGCCATTAGATCTTTTTCTAATTGCTTCGCGTAGAATTGCGAGAATAAATCAAATTTGGGAGCATTACTGTCCTCGATGTAAATGTAACGCACGTTTGCAACTTCTCGCCGGATGCAATGTACGAATCCGATTAGACCTGAGAATAAAAAAGAACAAGATGTCTAAGGATTGGTTGATCAACTCTCAGATAAAGCTCGAAAAAAAAATTTTAAACAAATACTTTTAAATACAAATTTTTTTATTTCAAAAATTATATAAACATTGTACCAAGTAATTCTTCGCTTTGAGATACAAAAAGTACATCTTGATTTTCACTGTCGAATTTACTCAATGCCGCTTTCGCATTTGCTAACCATGAGAAATCGTTTTCTGTGATCTCTATTAAGATCGGTTCTTTCCTCACTTTTCGCTTTCTCAATAAGAAATAACTCTTACCCGAGGAGTCGATTTGTTTACCAATTAACATCAAATGCGCTTCCTTTAGTGCAATCTTTAAGTCGAATATACCAGTCTCCTCTAGAAGAATAAAACAATTAGAACTTAAGGTAGCCGCAAGATTTTTGAGAACGAAGCAAGATCGGCCAGAGAGAACTTCCGCTGCTATGATGAGATGCATATTCTGAGCTGGAAATGTATCGTTCACATCCCATTTAATTACATTAATATTAATGTCCGTTTGATTGAAACTTATCGTATAATCGGACGCGGAACTGACGGCTACTTGTAAATCAACCTAAAATGATAGAAGTGATTGTTTCAAGGGTTTCTTATATAACAAAATTTGCGCATTTATGAATATTTCATATGTATGTATTCAAAAAATGTGTATCTTATATTATAAATTGCTCGAAACTATTTATGTAAAATTTTACTTCTTTAAGTCGACGATAGTAATTAAAATTATTTAGCGAGTACTTACGGTGACTAAGGGTTCGCAAGAAAGAATATCGTGTACAAGGGGCGCCAAAAGTCTTTCTCGATTATCCGCAACTTCCACGGCTTTGATTCTCGATGTCGTTATGTTTTCACATACAGTTTGTAACAGTACAGTAAGTATGTGAATCTCTTCTGTCTTTGGATCTTTCAAGCCTAAGCTGCTCGAGTTTTCGTATGGTACGAAAACGTAACGTTCATATTTGGGTCTAGTCTTCTGCTGTCGCGGAGGTGTGATAGGTTTTATGCCTCTTAGTTCAATACCGCCCGATCTGACGATATTTACATTTTTATAGTAATATATCGGCAATCCGCCATTTTTTGGTAACTCATTGACCAATCGTCTATGAAGAACGGGATCGATCAGAGCGAAAGAAATCTTCGAGCCATACATTAATTTCCGATCGTTGGATAATATTTTAAATTGAGACATAGTATCCATGTAAGAAGACCATTCGTTAAACCAATGCAACTCGCCAATGGTGAAAGAATTGTCGCAGGATTTTATTCCCTTGAAAAAACCATTATATTCATATCCACGTAATCTTAATTCCTTATAAATGTCCTCGTTATTCAATAAAAGCTTAGTGGGCGAAATCGGAAGCGATGAGAAGTTCAGCTGATTTTTCTCGATAGTATTAGCAGCGCGGATGTTGCCGCTGGCTACAATCGTATTCGCTTCGAGGATCTCAAAATCTCCCTTACCTTCGAAAAGTTTTATGAAAAACTTAATTGTTTTATTCTCCGGTAAGAAAGTAATGCTCTGAAACCATACGTTCTCAAAGATGACTGATAATCGCTCGAAATCGATATTGTGTAGTTTCGCAAAGACTTGCCAAACCATCAATATGAAGCCGGCGCCTGGGAAAATAAATCGCCCGTCGATTTTGTGTCCCATTAGATATTCGTCTGTTTTTCTCGATAAATTTATCTCTACAACATGCTCTCCAGACGATTCTTTCGACTGATGTTTCAAATCGGGCACCGTCCATGTAGCAGAGTGATCCCACTTGACCAGAGATCCGATCATCGGTGTTCCACGACTGACGGGAAAATTGGCTGACGGATACAGTTTGGAGATGTCAGGTTGCGCGCCGGCTATGTACAACTTTCCCACATTAGATAGTAAAAAGATCAAATTATTTGAATGATTCAGCTTTTGGAGACCGATATTAGTTACTGTGGATGGTAGCGATTTACGCAGGATTGTCTGTAGCAAGCAATGTGGCGCGATTTCGATGGTTATCGCATTCTTCGGGATATGCGTGATCGCCTCCTGAAAAAGCACAGGTGACAGCATATTGTTCACGTGATACTCTGGTGAACAAAATTGTGCGAGTGGGCTATCCCATGCGGCCTCGGGTACTGAACTAGAAATCCATCTGATAGATCTCTGCTTTGGCTTTGGCACAATCATATCGAGAGAAGTGCAAAATTTTGATTTAACTGGAACAATGTATTTACTGTGATAAGCAACGCCACAGCAATTGATCATTTTGGCAAAGATATTTTTGCTCTTCAACTCTTTTACGAACTTTTCCACAGACACGGGTGAGCCAGAAATTGTAACTAAATCGGCGGAATTATGACAGGCTGGAGCGATATCGGTCAAACACATGTTCTTGACTTCCTCCCAATTTAAGTTTACCACCGCCATAGCGCCTGGTTCCAAATCGGATTCTATGATCGACTTGCCTCTATAATAGGCCGTCAAAATCGTTTGCTCTAGGGTAAACGCGCCATCGGCATACGAGCAACTTATTTCACCAAGGGAATGTCCAATTATACCGTCTGGTCGCACACCCATAGATATTAACATATCGATGAGAGCGATTTGAATGGCCACGATTGTCACGGTAGCAACCAGTACGTTATCGTATGTTTCATCGGTACCGTTAACGATGATATTCATTAGATCAACATTGTGCTGCTTTAATACATCCGCGCATCGCTGTAAACTGTGCTGACACGTTTCTATTTCAAGCAATTCGCGTCCCATACCCGGCCATTGAGTACCTATACCGGAAAATATAAACCAAATTGGACGTTTTTCGTCATAATTCGCCTCGACAATCTCGCGGGTACTATCATAAGCGAGTATTTCATAGCCACGAATGTTGTGATTTGATAAGTTATCACTGTATACAGAGTACAATAGAGATAAAAATTCATTGTCTTGATGATGCTCGTTTGCTTTGTTGAGTAATATCTGTACAGCTTCCTTTGTACGGCCCGATACGGCGACCAGCTTGGGCAACCGCGGCTCGACGGTATCCAATGATGTCTTTATCTTCGAATTGCTGCGCAGAATAACATGAGAATTAGTACCGCCGGCGCCAAATGAATTGATACCCACAAGACCGCCATTCCATGGCGTAGCTTTGTCGATTACGCGAATACGTCCATCGGTCAATGCGGGAATCTTTGGATTTGGAGTAGCAAAGTGCAGATTCGCCGGAATCACACCGGTTTCCATCGCAATCAGCAGCTTAGCAATCGCGCACAATCCACTTGTAGGTTCTGCGTGTCCCATATTTGATTTAACGGAGCCGATTAACAGTGGCGTCTTTCTGTCTTTGCAAAAAAACTTATCGATGGCACCCATCTCCTCCGGATCACCCGCTTTGGTACCGGTACCATGCGCCTCCACGTAAATTACGTCTTTGGGATCGATATTCACTTCATTGTATATTTTCTGCAACATCAAGTATTGCATGTTACCACTCGGATACATAATACCTTCGGGCTTGTAGCCATCCGTGTTTATCGCTGTGTTCACTACTGTGGCATATACTCTGCGCGCATCTGACATTTTCTGCAGGTATATTGCGACCACTCCTTCGGATCTCGCATAACCGTCAGCTGAGATATCGAATGATTTACATTTGCCTTCTATGGATAGCATATTTTTTTGATGATAATGAAGACTGTGAATCGGATCAAGCACGAGATTCAATCCGCCGACGATCGCTGCGTCACATTCGCCAGTGCGTATCGCCATGATTGCCTGATGCATAGCAGTCAAGGACGAAGAACAGAGTGTATCCACTGAAAAGCTGGGTCCAATTAAATCGAAGGTGTAAGAGATTCTGTTTGCCATCATTGCTATGCTACTTCCAAGCCATTCTTGTCCTGCAAAGAGATAATTTGCATACGATAATTTTTATGGCTTACTCAAAACACATCTTGATATCTTCTGATATCTTATGATATTAGTTAATTTAATTAATTTAATTAATGTAAAGTAAACATGATGGGAGAACTCAGTTAAATTGTTACTTTAATAATGCTGTGACGATCGAGATATCAGAGTTTCTCTCTCTCTCTTCTACTCTACATATTATATAATATTATATTCTAATAGAGTAGAAGAGAGAAACTCTGATATCTTCATCGCTACAGCATTATTAAAATAACAATTTTCCCATCATGTTTACTTTACATACACACTTTACATATACTTTTATACATACACAACCCCCCCCACACACACACACACACAAACACACACACACACACACACACATATATACATATAATATATAATACATTATAATACATACAATTCATAAATATTTCAGTTTTTGCTAGAAGAACACTTAAGTTTCAGTCAAATGATTTGTTCAAATCAAATTTATTTCAAAATCTTACATATACTTTTTTAGTTGTGTAAAATACTTCAATATAAAGAATTTATTATTTTCATGTATTTTTCATGTATATTTCATATATTTTTAAGATTAAGTATTTAGAAACTGATTTAACTAAATGATATCTCTTTATAATATTATTTATTGCAAATTTTCAATCTTGTTTCTTACATTTGTAAGATTAAATATTTAAAAATTGGTTTAACTATTTAAGAATATTGTTTTGTAATATGATTATAACGGCCAAAGATATTCACGATAAGTTTTCAAAATGTATTTACCGTCCGGCTTTTTTTTCCAAAAATTGTTCGCATCGGAAGCGGAAATGCCAATGAAAACACCGGTATACGATTTTTTCAAGGTAGAAGGATTGACACCAGCGTCAATCAGTGCCTCAAATGTCACTTCCAACATCATTCGAAGTTGTGGATCCATTACATGCGCTTGTTTGGGAGGTATCTTGAAGAAAGAGGCATCGAAATTATGAATATTTTTAAGTTTGCCAAATCTAGAAGGTAAACCGTAAAGGCCCGGTTTCCAACGTCGATCGTCCTGAGTGACCATATCCGTTCCTTTCATTAAATTTTCCTTAAATTCTTCAATGTTTGACGATTCAGGCAGACGGCCTGGAAAAATATTGATATTACAAATAACCATCTTATAATAAAATTGGTGTTGTATCATAACCATTTGAGATCGATACAATTACCTGAAATGCCCGCAATGACAATGTCACCTTCAAAATAAGTGAGCATCTTGATCTTCAAATAATTCGAGTTTCCTCAGACTAAACTAACTTTTTTATCTCTCTGTAAAAATAAAAATTCTTTCTTTTAATTTTAGCTTACACATGTGTCACGGGTCAATTTCCGCGTGATTCGGTATAAGATAGCGGGATCGGAAATCCGGGTTCGAGGTCTTGCAATACACGAGAGCGTGGGTAAAAGAAAAAAAAATAAATAAGTTTATTTTGAATGTCTGGGATACAGTGTGTATGTGCGCGTGGTGGTTTGTGTGTGTGCGCGTGTATATATATGAAACGCGTGCAATTAGGCGTGAGCGCGATATTCGGCGCGAGGCGCTAAGTTGTTGTTTATTACAATTTAAAATCGTGTCGTGGATGCACGTCGTAGCGTGCCACGAGAGAATTATTAAAGCCGAAGTGCTTGAATACGATAATATGGATATCGGAAATAAGTTGTGTCGATCGTATTAATACCTTTAAATGGTATTTACGTCGTGTTGTTGTGGTTCGGGCGCAGTCAATGACCGTCGATGCGGCGTGTATCGTTTTTGTGCCCGTACGCCGGGAAAGCCCTGTTTTTAATGCGCTTCTTACTAAGTACGCTAGGTTCCACGAATTTAATAGACGCGATTTCGTGGGAATTAAATGATTAGTCCCGTGCGGATGGATTTTGCGGGAACGCAGTGCCGGCGAGAGCGACTCATCCGAGGCAACTCTATTCTCTACCCCGTGAGGATGCACTTGCGTTTTGGCGGTCGAATTTTAGACCGGTAGTCGAGATCTCTCGACGGAATCGGAGTTCTCTCTGATTCCTTGTTTCTCGGTCGGTTTTATCAAGATCGGATGGAGTGATCTGGCTTTGAAGATCGAGAGCACTCGATGGAGGAAGAGTTAACTCTACCTCTTTTTCAAAAAGCGAGATTTAATTTTCGGAGCGGTCTAGGTTTCGGAGCTGCTACTCTTGATGAGAGCGGATCGAAAAAAGGTGCTTATTACACCGAACAGGCCCTTTTTACACCGGCCTAATTGCCCGCGCCAGCGCGCGGCGGTATTACCCGAACGGGTTACGGGAAGCGGCACGGTCGGAGGCCCGCTCGGAAGGGTTCGGGGTGTGCGCCGAGCGCGGGTTTTTTCGCCGGTCCGGATCGAGGCCCGTCGGCAACGCTCGGCGGTATTCGGGTTGTTGTTAACAGTTTAAAAATGTGGACGCACCGCGCCCCTGCCTCTGCCCGGCGGATGTTCTGCCGGGCGGCAGCTTCCGGCGGATCGCATGCCGGGAATATGCTACATCTAAGGGGGTGCACGGGGTGCATCGTTACACATGTAATTGTTTTAATGAAATTAAATTACGTTCATCGTATAGCTTTACTTTTATTGAAGTTTCATATACATTATATATTGATGAATAAATTCGAGAAATTATGAGAATATAAATTAAATTTTCTCAATATAACCGATGACTTAATGATGATATAATGAATAACTAATAAATTTCTTCCTACATGTTACATAAAAAATACCAATAGTGATTATGATGGAATCGAAAATTAATCACGAGGCAAAAATATCCGTTGGACATGTATTATGCTTGTAATGAATAAAATTTTAAATTAATAAAACTCCTATGATTCTTGATTGTGTAGACTTCTGAAAAGCATTATGAGGAATCGTATGAAAACGATTTGTATGAAAACGAGACAATTTTTAACGGTACATGATCTGTATGAAAACTCATAATAGCTTGCAAAGATCATTTTTGAAAGATAATTGAATAGATAATTTTTAAGAACTATTTCTTTTAGCACGTCCAATGTGCAAAGTGATAATTGCTGAAACGGAATAAATCTTCTTGATTATCGAACCGATTTGTGAAAATATCTGAAACGCTGAGCCGTATTTTAAATTATAAAATTAATCTAAGTGTTATATAAATTGCAATAAGAATTAAATATTTGTATATTTAGTAAATGACATATAAATGCCAGCTCTTTTCAATTATTTCCAAGAATACAATAATAATTAATATTAAATTTTTATTTTTTAATAGGAATGGATGGAGGATATAGAGAAAATCGAGAATATGTGGAATAGAAGTTTAAAGATGGAAATTGAAAATATGGTAAGAGAAAAAGAAAGAGATATACAGAAGCAAATGATAGATAGTACGATAAGGCAGTCGAGATATAATAAAATATATAAAGAAGTAGGAATAGGAATAGAAAGTCCCAATTATCTTCGAAGAGAAATATTAGATATTGAGGGAATGGGTGATAAGATAAGAACATATAATAATTAAGATTAAGATATAGTAATATGGAAAGGGATAATAGGTATTGAATAAAGGAAAAGAGGTACATGATATGTATTTAGTGAAGAAGGATAGATAATATTAAACATGTAGGAGAGTGCGTAAAAGTGAAGAAATGATTTGCGGGTTTAGGAAGAAATATAAATGAAGGGATCCAAAAAATTTTGAATGATGATTCACAGGAAGAGAAAGGAAAAACCCTAGAAAGATTACAAGGAAGGAAAAGGAGAAGTAAGAAAGAGGAAAAAGAATGAAGTGTATAGAACAAGCTATAGAAGAGCTCAAGTTATAGAAGAGCTTATAAAATAGGAAAGAAATAGAAGTAGATTGTAAAAGATAGTGAAAGAAAATAATGAGGTAAAGAAGTAAATAAAAGTATAAAATGAAATAATAAGTTATAAGTTATAATTATAAAAGCGAAAATATTGATAAATATGTGATAAAAGGAAGTAAAATGTGACACTATGTGATAAGATATGATAAGAACAAAATTTAAAATTTTATAAAGGAATGTAAATGAATGAATGCATGCATGGTGTATAGGTATGTAAATAGATATGTGAGAATATGCTAATATGGAAGTAAATAGATACGGATATATATATATACATGTAAAAAAGGAAAAATGTAAAAGATATAAAGATACAGTGACCGGCAAAAATAAAAAGCCACCTTAACTATAAAACTGATTTGATGCTAAAAGGTAAAAAAAATTCATTATAAAGTTTTTTATAACTAAAACTGAAAATTTATTAATTAATTTAATGTTTTTAATTGAAAAGAAATCATTTTTTATTTAATACTGTATTTATTTCTATATAATCATTTATTTAAGAGTGACAAAATAAAAAAGCCAGTTAAGGTAACATAGTATTACGATTTAAAAAAACAACCATATTATTTTAATTAATAATTAATATGATTTCCTTTAACCTCAATTACTTTTTGCAGTCTTCTTGGTATACTTTCAATTAAATTTTTTAAATGTTGTGGATCCAAATTCTCCCAGGCTAGTTGTAATGCTTCAAAATAAGAATTCTTGTTAGTTACTCCGCTTTTATTAATCCTATTATCCAAAATTGCCCACAGATTTTCGATAGGGTTCAAATCTGGAGATTGCGGAGGACATTCAAGTTGTTTAATTCGGCAGGAACGAAAAAAAGCTTGACTTTTCTTTGCTGTATGTTTCGGGTCATTATCTTGTTGGAAAATAAAATTATCTTCTAGTCCGAGTTTCAACAAACACTCCTCCAAATTTTCATTTATTATATCAATGTAGACATCTGCTGTCATAATTCCGTTAATTTTGACAAGATTTCCCATTCCTGCCCATGAGAAACATCCCCAGACTAATATATTTCCTCCGCCATACTTTACAGTTTTCTGAATATGACGATCTTGAAGCTCTTCGCCGTGTTTTCTCCAGACTCTAATCCGCTTCTTTTGTCCAAATAACTCGAATTTGCTTTCATCTGTCCAAATATTTTTCCAGAAGTCCAATGACATATTTGCATACTTCCGAGCAAATTGCAAACGTTTTTTCTTATTGGTGACGCTAAAGAAAGGTCGTTTACGTGCAAACCGGCTGTGTAAATTTGCTTCATTGAGTCTTCGACATACAGTGCAGTCAGAAACAGTAAGATAAATGTTTTTCTGAATTTCTCTAACAGTAATCTTTGGATTTTTCTTAACTTCACGGATTATTTTCATATCCTCCCGCTTGGATGTTGCTCGTTTTCGACCTCTTCCGATTCTATCTGCCACCGATCCAGTTGATTGAAATTTTCTTCTGATCTGTTCTACTGCTCCTCTACTTACTTCATAATTTTTGGCTATATTCCGTGGGAAAGACCTTTTTGAATATCTCGCACAATTAAGTTTCAAACTTGTGTGGAAATTGATCTTCCTCCCATTTTTGACCGCGAATTTTGTGTAATAATCGAGATAAGCCAATGTTGCAAAAATGATTAACAACAACGAGAAGTGAGCGCAATAAGACGAACATGTTGACATGACAACCAAACAAAATATTATATATATTAAATCGAACAAATCTGAATGGCTTTTTTATTTTGTCAATATAATAAACAGCAATATTTAAGAAATATAAATAAAACTGAAAAGTAAAAAATAATTTATGTGATTGTAACATAAAATTTAAAAATAAATAATAAATGCTTCTTCTTTCATCAATGAAAATCTCATTGTTTTAATATTTTTACTCTTTCATTAAGCAAAACAGTATAACTAGGAAAATGGCTTTTTATTTTTGCCGGTCACTGTATAAACCAGAAAATATATAATAAGAAATAATGATTTAATTTAAGAGTTATGAATGGATAAATGTTTAGAAATATTGTGTCTGAGCGAATACCATCGAAACGATACAAAAAAGGTGCAAAAAACTTCGAATAAAAGTCTTATGATTTTAAATGTACTATATAAATATATTTTTCGATAATATCATATTTTTTGAAAAAGACACTTAAATTTAAAAAAAAGCATAAGTATATAAAAGCATAATAATATAAATAATAATAAAAATTTTAAAAGTAATACGTAATATATGCATACTTATTTTTATTCAGTCGTAGTAAAACAAAACTGCTGATGTACTATATTGTACTAAACTGCTAGATCTAGAACGATAGATGCTTTTTATAATAATCCGCACGTGTTCCGTTGGACGCATTTGTAAAATTATCTTATGTCATGCATTATATTAATATCATGACTTTGCTGCATAAGCGCATCTATTTTTATTCATTGCAATAAATTATCGCATATTAATATTTAATTTTATAATCCGTATTTTTTATGTCTGGAAACTTCCATAAATTTCCTTTTTTTTAAGGTCTATATTGGATTAGCTCTGAAATTTTTCGAATTGGCACCAGATTTGTAATAACTTATGAAAAATATGTTTTTTTTTTCATATTTATACATATTTTGATGGTTTTAATTCTGACTGCCATATTGGATCTGTCATTTTGAATTTTTGAAATTTGTCTTCAGGTTTGTAATCAGATACCGGAAAAACAAAAAATGCAATTCCCAGAAATCCACTAAGTAAAAAGAATAAAAAAATAAATTTACTCTTGTATATCTCAGCGAAAAAGAATCGTATGATAGCAATCGAAAATGGAATTGAAAAGTGAAGACTAATACTACACAATGCCATTGGCAAAAATATTTAAAAAAAATTAAATTCTTCCATAATATATTCATGAAATTTACCGAAATTGCCATTTTTGGGCTACTTAATTACAAATTAATCGAGAACCTGACGTGCTAGGGAAATTCTGCTGCAAATTCATTTTCAGAATCAAAAAAATCTATCAGACTCACCTGCTTTTGGTAATTGATTCTTCTCAGATCTGTGTTATTATTGCATTCTCTTAAGAATAATTGAAAAGAGGCATTTATATATTATTTATTATAAATATTGAAATATTTTATTTTCATTGCAATTTATATAACACTTAGTTGATTAATTTTACAATTTAAAATACATCTAAGCGTATTTCAGATATTTCAAATCCGATAGATAAAAGAATTTATTTTATTCATCAATCATCATATTGAACATGCTAAATAAAACAGTTCTTAAAAATTATCTATTCAATTATCTTTCAAAAATTATTTTTGCAAGCGATTATAAGATCTCATAAATATATATATATATATATATATATATATATATATATATATATTGTGACCGTGAAATTTCTTATTTTTCTAAATGGGGAAATTATTGAGAGGACCGATGGTGTTGGTCCACGGCACACCTTCGGCACGATCGCCCTCCGTCGACTCGGCGGTCGCAAAACAAAAGCAAGAATTTTTGGGCGCCAGGCGCGAATATCCGCGCCGCGCGAAACGCTAATTACTCGCAAAGAAAATCGGAGGGCCGATCGTGACGGCCCGAAATCTCGGTAGCTCACGCAAACGGTGTCGGTAGAGGCGTGAAGTTCGCGGAGAGCGGAGGAGAGGAAGTCGAGGTTGTAACACTCAGAGAAAACTAATAGCAGTCATAAAAAATTCATAACATATGTAACGGTGCACTCCGATGCACCGTTCCGAATTCCCGGCAATGTCATCAGCCGGAAGCTGCCGCCCGGCAGAATACCTGTCGGGCAAGGGCAGGAGCGCGGTGCGCCCGCATTTTTTATTCTTAAAACAAAGACCGGGGCCGTTAAATCTCGGAGTGATTAAACGGCCGAAAATTGCCGAGCGAAGCCGACGCGGCCCGAACGACCGACCGGCGAAAGCCCGCGCTCGGCGCACACCCGAACCCCTCCGAACGGGCCCGACCATACCGTTCCGCATTAACCCGTTCGGAAAGGGTAACACCGCCGCGCGCCGATGCGGGTAATTAGCCGGTATAAAAAGACCGTATTTCGCCTGATTAAGACATTCTCCTGATCCGCTCTTGGCCGTATGTTCAAGAGAATTCTCCGAAAACCTGAAACCGACACTACCGCCCCGATCAACTAGATCGAGAGTACTCAGCCTGAGCCGAGAGTTCTCACTATCGCGTGGGCTCCATCCACTCCTTCGCATCCCGGCTGGAAAGATCCACGGAAGGTGGAGTTCAAAGCCGCCTCGCTCGAGAGTTCTCGAGGCCAGCCTTATCAAAACGCGATCTTGAACTATCGAACGCGATTTCCCTTCGAGGAACCGGAATATCTATTCGCGAAATCGAACAGCTTTTTCGCCGATTATGGGATTCCCGGAACGACGGGATTCCCCGCGTAAGAAACGCGGCAAAAACATCGCCACAACAAACGCGAGGTCTTCGATCGATTCCGAGCGCATAGACGCGCGCCTCATAACAATCATCGCGTTCATACACACGCAATTATACAACCGCATTTATACACGCGCATTTATACAACCGCATTTATACACGCGCATTTATACCACCGCATTTATACACGCGCATTTATACGACCGCATTTATACACACGCATTTATACCATCGCATTTATACACGCGCGTGATACACTCGTTTGCATACGCTCACGTTTATACACTCGCATCGATATACACGCAATTATACACTCTCAGTCATAATTTGTACACACGCATTTTATCTGAATAAATTATTATTTTACCTTTTAACTCGCTCACGATTAATTACCCGAAATCCGACGAGCTATACGCAATTTACTCCGAAAATCGGACCGTTACACATATATTTCGTCGAGAAAAGAAAATCGAATAAAATAAAGATGTATTTAATCATATGGCATCTAACACAAATTCACGCGCACAACCAGTCGCAATTCAGTGGAATTTGTCGTTTTATATTACGGCGGCGAGCCCCGTGAGCGAGACAAGGACGGCGCGCTATCGACGCGCACGGCCGCGATTAAGAGCGAGCGAGACAGAGCATGGATCATGCGTGTTTATTGTGAAAAATTGGAAAAGACGAGTCAATTATTAGCTGACGAATTAATGGGTGTGGCAATTAATTGCACCCGCGATACTGTTCTCGCCCGCCCGAGATCTACCTGACGACAATCGATAATACGCGAGCCCCGCGCGATGGAATGCGGCAGGGCGTACGGCGCAATACAACGACGTCACGTTAATACGACAATTTTCGGTCGAAACACGAAGATTTCCTGACAATTTGCAACAGCCGTAACGCACAAATTATGCAAACAACGACGAAATAAGCTCACAACGACGATAGATCTCACGAAAACGCGGACAGTTTATACAATATACAACGCGAAATATGACACGGTGATTGGCGGCAGCGTTTCCCGGGGAAACAGCGGTCCTGCAACAAAAGCTCGGACGAATCGCTCGGCCCCTCTGTTATTCGAGTATTTCCCGAAATCGCGGAAGAACGGAAGCGTTAATGGCGTATGAGTCACGTGCGATAAACGCGAATAATCGATATCACCCGACACGTAAAATCGAGGGCCCAACACGATTCACCCGAGCGGCAGCAAAATTTGTTGGCCTTACACAAATAATCGTTCATCTCACCAGAACTAATCCTCCAAGATCATCGGAAAAGGCTCGTGTCGCTCGTCTCGGGATCTACGTCCTTACCTTACTTGAACCGGTCTGCCGAACAGTGAGAAGTAGGGCAATATTTTTCGATTAATCGGTAATGTTGATCCTTTAATTTAAATAATTGATTATATTTCATCGATTTTTTTATCGGTCGATTAATCGATTTTCGATTTTTATGAGGCAAAATCGAAATAATTATACCTATCTTTCCTACATCACGAGGTGGTTTCCGGCGCAGCCTACAATAGCCAATCAGAGATTATTTTTTTTGGGTCACAACAGTCGATTTACTAGATTATATTACTAGATTTTATATATTATATGGCGATATAATATAGATTAATCTAGTAACGTTTCTTAACTGTTCTGAACGCATCCAGTGACCAGTGATCCAAAAAAGATAATTTCTGAGGTCAATATTACATTTGTCGTGCGACAACCTTTTTAGCGCATTGATTGTCTACAAAATAGAGATTTCAGAAATTTTTTATACTGTAGCCAATCAATCCGCTTAAAAAGTTTGTTGTACGACAAATGTAATATCGGCCTGATTGGCAGTTGTAAGCCGCGCCGGATGCCGCGTCGTTTAATTGTATACATATATACATATTTCGTATTTATTTAAGCAGACATATCTCCGGGTTTTATGTTTATACATAGGGGGATATGAAAAAATTCAATAATAATATAATAACCAGAGAGAAACCTGAGAGCGGCCACCAGCCTCGACGGGCACATTTCTCGATGCTTGACGCGCCGTCTGACAAAGTGGACGTGAACTATGTCCATTACGCTCGGTAACGAAACATGGTTTGTGTCTATGATATGGGTTCATGTCCGAACTATTCAGAGATGGACAGTCGGATAAGAATCGATAATTCATCGTTCTGTTTTTGTCTCATCAATGACAGACCACGCGACTGCCACGCGACGAGCTTACGATTTTGCTTTTCTCTTTCACTCGTCGCACTTTCACGTTCTTCGTTATGATGTAATAACGAAATGATCTTCACATAATCCTAATTTTTTAAGGGTATTGGCAGACAAGTTTTCCAACTTTGTACGTCCTGTAACAAAAATACAACACATTATGAAAATTACGATTACATGCTTACTTCAAGCTACCATAGCAATTGGTATACCGAATGTTTGGTAAAAAAAAATTTTTTTATGTCAGGCGTGTTGGTTATGATCAATTCGATAAAGTGCTCCTTCATAATAGCGCGTAGCAGTGCAAGTAAGATGACTGCTTGTCACGGCGCTGACCCGAGTTCGAATCTCCGTGCTGTCGTTTTTTTTATTTTTATTTTATGAAATAATAAACTAACAAATAATATGTATTGAATTTGGGAGCAGAAAAGGCAAAAAATTAATAAAATAATGACAATTATTGCACAAAAACATACTTGTATTGCCTATCCATGTATTGCATCTTGTATCCTTCTGCATTGGAAATCGGAATAGCCGTTTCCTATGCGAAAATCTCCCATTCTTACATTATTTACTTTATTTCTATACACGCACTTATCATAATAACTATCTATAGAGCACTGACTCGACATAGTGATTGTTTATTATAATGCAAAACAAAAAAATATAAAAATAAAATTAAAAAAACTTAAAAATAGAAATAAAAAAGAAATAC